CCAGCAGCGATATCACCTCTCGCACGGGGGCTTCCGCCTCTTTGGCGTCCGCGACTTCCGTTTCCGGTTGCGTTCCGATTCCCGTTCGTATAGCTTCGGTTGCCGTCCTTGTCGCACCTTCTACTCCTTCCGTCACACTAGAAGCAAGTGCGAGCAGAATGGAGAGAGTAATAGTGATGGGCAGGCGAGCTAAAAGTGATTAGCAAGGCGATAAGGATTAGTTAGCTTTGCTAACGAAGAACCAAGATTCTTCAGTATGCAGGTATGTATATTAAATTTATACACATTCAAGACTAGAAAAATTGGGTTTATTTGAATACTAATGATGTTGCTAGGCACTACATATAATTTAGAAAGGCTATTACCAAGATAAAAATAGCACCCAGGACGTAATTGGAATGCTACCATTCAAAATGAAAATGTAGGCTAACTTATAGCCATAGGGAACCCAACAAAAACCAAATAAAATAAACCTCAAAAGAATAAGAGAACAGATTTTCAACGCGTTGAAACAAACAGATGCTCTTGCCTATTTGGCTTCATAAATTTCTTAAGCAAATGGGGCCGAAATATTTGTTTAACCGATTAAATGGGTTAATTAGCATTCGATTAGCCGAAAAGCGAAATAGAATTGAACACTCTTTGGTCCATTCATTGATGTTTTGCTCGATGCAAATACATTCTATCTATACATTGTACGTATTGTATGTATATTTATTGCATATATATTTTGTATATGGCTATATACAAATATGTATTTACTGAGCACCCCCCGAAGGAACTTCCCTTGAGGCTGTTGTCAGTGCATTTATCATTTTTAACGATTGCACTTAAATGCGTCGCCATTTCCACCGCCCACATGGAATCGCAATTGATTGTGATCGAAAAGGGATAGGTGGGGAAATATACTCGTACGCATGTATGTACATATATTGGATATTTGAAGTTGGAAACTGTAAATGGCAAATATGTAAAATGTGTAATAAAAATTACGCACAGTACATTTGGGGCTCAATGGCGACGAAATGGCCCGTGAAATCCCAATTTCCCCCTTCTGCCATCACGATGCCATCCCCACAATATGTAGTATTCATATTCCCCCTCCACCCGAAATCCTTTCGATTTCACTGGGCCTTCGATAAGGCATCAGCCACATCATCAGCATGACTGGTTGACTTTCTGATGGACACGATGTCGTGATAGGAAATGAAAAGAGCATAATAAAGAAATGAAACTACCTGCACAAAAAGTATAATTATAATGCGAAAGCCGAAAAGGTAAACAAATGCAAATCAAATTAAATCGGGCGAGGGTATATCGAGCTCAAGGGGTAATGATAGCATCGAAGTTTGTGTACCCTACTATTCATATGTCGCAAATGCAAATATAATTCTCGACAGGAAAGTAGAGTTATGTAGAGTGTGTAGTATCTTCTTTTTTTGCGCCTAATATTGACAGTAAATGAGATACAATTTATTAAATGCTTGTACTTTTCTTGTACTATTTTTGCGGCAAAAATAACAGGTTTCGCGTTGATTATCATATTTGTTGTTGAATAAACATGCGACCCGCAAAAGCAAATATGCAAAGTTCGCCAAATTGAAAAGTCAACATAAATACACAAATATATTATGTATGTGCAATATGTTGTTGATTGTGGTTCAATCTTTTTTAAGTTTTTCTTTATTCAGTTTGCTTCTCTTTCAAGCTCTCGATTCGATAATTCGTTGGTCGATCGTTTGTTCTCAAGGCTACACAATTAATTCTATCGATATTATTTTTATATTTATACACAGCTTACACTTAGTACTTTGTATTTATGCACAGCTAACAACTGTAAGATTTAATTTCGCTATTTTTAGACAAAAGGGAAACAATAATAGGGTCCTTCAGAATTTGCGTAAAAAACATATTTGCCGATCGGCAAATGGAAAATTTTCCATTTTTCAGGCAGTCGAAAACATATGGCCTGTCCCCCATGTTAATCCGCATCAACAAGGACCCCGGGATGTCCTGGATGGGCGATTGCATTGCTTTGGAGGTCATAACTCAGGCGGCGGAGAGGAGAACGGATTGCAATTACCGCCCGAGATGCAGACCGGTAAGGAGGCAAGGGGGCAAGGAGGTCAGGAGGACTGGAGGACCAGGATGAGAAGGACTGCCACAATGGGAACTGAACTGAAATGGAAATGATGCACAGGGACGGCGACTCTATAAAAGTGTAATTAAGCGCGCCATCCAAAGGCGGGAATGGTGATCCGAAAGCCAGGACAAGGACAAGGACATTGCGCATTTGACACGTGTTGCTAATGTGCATGGGGATGGGTTTTTGAGGCTGAACGGAACAGGGAATGTTACTGAAACTGAAACTGGAACTGGAACTGGGGCAACTTGGAGCACCGGCCTCCGCAGCAATCCAATCCAATCCAATCCCCTTCAATCCCCTCCCAACCAATCCAATTCCCCCGTAAGCCCCACGAATGCCGATGGCATATCAACGTTTTGTCAACACATTTGCGGCAAATTGAAATGTTTGATGTGTGCGGCTTGGACTCGTCTGGCTACTGCCATGATTGATGAGCTAGATCTCAGCAGGGGGCATCCGCATACGCATCCGCATCCGGCGTCTGCTCTTCTCCATTTTCCACAGCTTTCCTCGATATTTTCCCCCATCGCAAGTGCATGCTGCAGAAACGCCTTCACTCATATACTTTTACAACTTTGTGGCTCATAAATTCTCATTGAGCCACTCAAAGAGGTGCACCACTGCTGCCACTGCATCTTGGGAACCTTCACTGAGCAGGAAATCCTAATTGCAGAGCAAATGCTGAAGGCTAAGATATGGTCAAAACTATTTTTGGTTAAATGCTTGAACTCTGCATTTCCTAAAAACTGAAATTGCGACGAGCCAAATACGTGCAGTGAAGGAAAAATATATGCCATTGGTGTAGTAGTTATGTATTTCGCTTTAATTGGTTTTCTCAGAGGTGTATGTATATAGTATGATATTCAAGATATTCCTTTCAGTGCACCCTCAAAACGGACTTCGATTTGTTTATTCAGTCTGACTCCACTAATCCCCAACCATGTGACCTCCAAGAATCGGTCGAAAGTAGCCCCCAGAGGTGAAAGTTTCAGTTTTTTCCTGGGCGGGGAGCAAAGCCCACTTAAAGGAAACGAAAACCCAAAAGGAACACACGAAAATAGAAGTCAATTGTGCTGGACGAACAGGTAAACAAATTATCTGCAGTTCGATGTCCGATGCCCATTTCAACATTTCAAAGTCCGTCGACTAATATCTATAAGATCATCTGATGAATCACAGTTCTTCGCCAGGTATAAACAATAGAAAGAGCTATTATTGCTGCCAAAGAACAGACAACTAACCATCTACATCCATTTACAAACATATTTGAAAGCTTAAAACTTAACATGTGTACAAATAATGAGTACTTGGAATTGGTGCGAATGTTTTGTTTAAGGATTTTCACCAAGAGTTGGGGCTCTCAAACTGATGGGCATCTAATTTATGTGGCAAACAAACAATGCTGCTGGATCGGCGGCATATTAAATGGATTCGGAATGGGAATAAGCTATATGTCTATAGGACTATTACGACATCTACTAAAAAAAAAGCTGAGAAATTCCAAAAGCTTTATTCACTCCGCCCCGTTCGACTGTTTAGATTCAAACGGATTCCGAGTACAATTTTCGTTATTGGAAAAGAATTTTTATACCCACCCAAAATGGAAAACAATAACACTGCGAGCAGAGCAAAGTTTTTGGCTAACAACAAAGTTGTAAACATCAAATTCGACTGGGCGGGCAAAAGAGCTAAAAGAAAAAAAAAATGTAAAAAAAAAGAAAAAAATTATAAAAACAGCAGGCAATTTTAAACAAAAAATAGGCTTGTCAAGTGCCCATTCGCAACGGGTTAAGTAATTATGTATATCAGACTACATATTTTTCTATATTTTTCTTTTAAAGCAGAACAGCGAATGCCTAGCCATTCCATTTGGGAGACTCATTTGCGTTTACCACACTTAATTACCCGATGGAAATTAATCATTTCATCGCTTTTTCGTATATGAACCCCGATGGGAAGCCATGCCAATGATTAGGGATAGCAATTGGAATTGGATGGTGGGTGGAGTTTGTCAATAGTTCGGCTGTTTGAACTGCCGCTGACAGCAGCAGCAAGGGCACCGAATACAAATGAAAACAAATGCGATGCGAAATGCTTAATGCTTAATGCCCGTGCGTTTGGGGTCAAGGGTCAGGGGTCATGTGACACATGAAGACAGGGGAAGTCCTGGCGAAATTAAGCAGTTTCTAGCCGGCTTTCGGTGCACAGAGAGAACACATCAACGAAACTTCAAATGGTATCGCACAAATATCGAATGCAAATGAATATTGCACTATATTCTTATTCTACTGCATTTCCCACCAATTTTTTTTTTTTGTGTAAGAATTTACTGTATACCCAATATCATAAGAAGAAAATAGATTATTTTTCTCACTGCAATTGCCGATTTGCCCTATTGCTGCTATTTGTCTTTCCTTCTCGGTTAGGCTTCAATCAGGGAATTACGCTAGTCATTTTTCAGTTTTCCACTTGGCAGGGTCAGAGGTCACATCACTCACACACACACACACACACACACAGACACGCCTCAGCACATATGTAAATACCGTTGGTTTAGCTTGAATTCGTATTTTGATTTGATTTACCACAAAAAAATATATAACTTCTGATTGCTGTCCCTTTTTTACCTAAATAAAAGAAATTCAAAACTGCCACGCGCAATATTAATTTGATGGCCTTTTGTGAACTTTAGTACGCTTTTACTCGAAGTTCCATTACATTATAATATTGTTACTATTCTATTATAATATTATATTTTTTGAATTTCTCAAAATATTTAGTATCCACTTATTTTCTAGGCGAATCATATTGCAGAGGAATACCCCACACATTCCGAAGCGATATTTCGATCTTCGATGTTCGATGTTCGTATTGTTAGTCATCGATAAAGCTGAAAGCTACAGGCACAAAAAGTACTGTAATTTCATCACAAATATACTCCATATATGAATATAGATCTCCTAGAATGGAGGAGGACTACTACATGATACTGGGCGTGGATCCCACAGCCACCGAGCAGGAAATCAAGGACGCCTACAGGCGCATGGCACTCATTTACCATCCGGATAAAAATAAACATCCACGGACAACGGCGCACTTCCAGAAGATCAATCGTGCATTTCAAGTCCTGTCAAATGCGATGAGCAGGAGGGAACACGATCGATCTTTTCAGTCACGAAGGTCTGAAGCCCGGAGGCCGGAAGACCGGAGGCCGGAAGGACCCCCAGATCCTCAACCTGGAGGTCAAGGGGAATCCCTGGATACATTGAACACTGTTATTGCTGTGGGCGTAGCACTGGTGGCTGTTTTTGCTGGATTCGGTGTTTACCATGCAATCCGCGGAGGGAATAATAACAAGTGATATATGAAGTCTAAATAACATATGTTATAAACATATGCGAATTGTAAAAAATGTGGTAGTAAAAATTGAGTAACTTTAAAAAGGCATAATACGTCCTGTATCTGTGTGATATCTTAAAAATAATTGGAATAAAACGGGCTTTTCCGTGAAAATTAAAACCTTTTCCGTTTTTTTAAAAACCTACGTGTATATTAAAACCCAACAGGTTTACTAAAACCTGTTAGTGACTGCTAACATTGCAAAATCCATTATATTAGATTATGTTTAATCTGAGATAATCGAATGAAACGGACAAGTTTGGAATATATGATTCAAGTTGCTCCACAAATTATTGGCTGTAAAAAGTTTGCGAATGGCAAGGAAAACTTCTTTGAAATGCGCCCTAACTCGATTCTCCTAGGTGCTTCGTTGAGATTTGTTCATTTTGGGAATTCAATTATTTGCCAACTTGAAATTGAACGAATAAACAATTGGATAAGTACTTTCTTTGAAAATCGGTATAAATAGTTTCAAAGGCCAGAGCCTTACACTCATTTTGCACTGAATTTAAATTTTATGAATATGTACATTGTAGATACATATTTATAAAACATCATATGTGATATTTTTTTTGTTTGCTTAACCACTTTCTTTAAAGGCAAAATGTGTTTTCACTTCATTAGCGAGCTGCGTATTTCTGCAGGACCTCTCTGATCCCTTGGGATTTTACACTTGCCACCCAAATTAGGGAATGGATCCATTCGCACTTCAATCATATAAGAGCCCCGCCCCAATCTCAATCCCAATCACTTTCCATTCGGAGATTCCCAGTCCCCTTCCTGTTTCATCCCCACTTTTTTTGCGCTTTTTGGCAATCATTCAGAACGCCTAACATGTCCGCTTCGGATTCAGATAAAGATGCCTAAAGGCCGCAACGGCTGAACAACACCACTGCAACACTTCCGAGCGAACCCCTAATGAGGCATAACCTTTATGGCGGGCACTGTACTGCCATTGCCGCCGCCATTGGCAATTCAATTATGCGACGCCTCAAAAATAACACCACAAAATTATATGGATTACTTGATCAACTTAAAAGCCCGACTGGATCTGGACTGGACCCACGCTCTGAAACTTGATAGTGGGCCTTCAATTCATTGGCCCTCTGGAAATTGGACATCGGACGTCGGACGTCGGGGGCATCGATTAGCGTCCGCCGGATAATGATACGGATACGGTCCCGTCTGTGTGTCTATGAGATGTCTATGCGGATGCTTAGGACTATGGGCGCACTCGAAAAAAATATGATAGAGTTCAGCAGTAAACTAGAAATATTTAACTTAAAAACGGGTGTATATCGTTATATTTACTAATTTATTTGCTTATTTAAGTTTACATGTTTCGGGAACTACTTATGCACATGTTAATAGATCACACATTTATTCGAGTGTGCGACTAGATGGATAATGGCTAATGGATCCGCTGCAGTGCACCCACACGCGGACCAAGTGAAACTGTAGAACCACTGGCCCATAAATAACGATTGCTGGCCGTATTCAAATTACCTAAAAGCGGAATACCGGAGTTGGGTGCGGAATGGTGATATGGGGATTATTACTCCAGAACCATAACCCCATATTTTCGGTTGGAATTTTCCCGCCAGCGACAAGTTCTTAAGAGTGGAAAATCGCCGGGCTTCTCCTTACACATGTATGTGTGTGTGCGTGCGTGTGTGTGTGCCTTTGGGTCACGGAAAATCGGAAAAAAATCGAGGGGCGGACTGAAAAAGAGAGTTGTGGGCGGCACACTTGCACTCCTTCGCTTTCGGCTGCCTGAGTTACAATTTGTTTTTTCCGCTTCTTCCGGTAAATTTGTCAGGGTTTTCTTCCCCAGCTTAAGCTTTGTAACTAGGATTAGGTGTTACGAGGGACACAGAGCGTTTATAAGACATATTTACAATTAAAATTGGGCCAATTGGTGATTTTAATTTCAAACCTTTCTCTTTCCCTGGCAGTCGGTTTGCCAACCCCTTTGTGCGAAAAAAATGATTTCGCTAATGTAGAGGTTGCTTAAATTATAAAGCTTTTCAATTTATCAAAGTTTAACTTTACTTTAAAGGAAACATGAAATATGTTCCGTATAACATGCCAACAAATCCAGTGGCCACTGAACAACATAAGTAAATGCCCTCATAAGGTAATCCACAACTAAGCTTATTATAAATGCAGCAGAAAAAACTAATAATTACCCCAAGCAGCTAACGCAAATAGTTTTGGCGAATTTAATAGAATTTGAGCCCCCGCTTAGAATTTGAGATAACCCCCACTTAATTGGCACAGTGGGTCATTAAAAGACGTGGTTTGTGGGGAGGGACTAGACAAATAATCCCGTAGCCACGGCGCTATATACGAGTTTATACATATATATATAAATGCTATATAGTGGGGATGAACGGATTTGTCTAAGCTGCCAACGCAGTTACAACTAATAACACAACTTTTGGGGCACCAAGCGTTGTCAGGTCAGCGCCCCTTTTGCTGGCCACAGGAACCACAAGGAGCCTGGGAGCACCCTAGACCACCCTAGTCCACCCTAGTCCACCCTAGACCACCCTACCCACCCATTCACCTTTTTAAACCGAGCATATCCTTCTCGCCTAGGCATTTGCAATTCATTCGGGCTCATAAATCTAAACGGCACCACGCACTTACACTTAATGACATTTTATTACAACATTTTAACGCAGACCCATCGACAGAGATAGAAATAGACATTGCCGCCACTGGGTGCGAAAGAGAGGGCGCGAAAATGCAGCCATTGGGGCGTCAGCTCCATTTTAATAACATAAATTAATATGCAAATTGGAACAGAATTTTAATTGAAAATCGTTTCGATAAAAATACGTTTCGGTCACAGGGTTTTCGGTGCATTTTCGAAATGCCAAACCGAATTCCTGTCAATCATCAACATTTTGATTGGATTGTGTAAACTGTTTTGGCACAATATTTTTACACCTCACGAAACCTGAATCATTTCTATATATTCCAATATTCCTACCGTGTACCTTATTATTTATTTTTTCACCTTAATTATATGCGCTTAAAACTATTTTAAAGAATTCGGCAACGCACCAAAAAAAATACAAAATGGTTGTATCTAATGCACTTTTTATTTGCAGACATTTCTGTTTCCCCGAGCTCAAACTTTATCGTAAAAACTTCTTGGTGCCCTTTGAACTTTCTCAAACATTCAGTTCTTTCCTCACTTTTGCGCCTTTTCGTGCAACCAACTTTAAGAATTTCTTTGTACAATTTCGACATTTTTAGAACTTTTGAATACATTTTTAGATTGAATAGTTCTTGCAAATAGTATCCATTTGAATTGGTTTACACCTGGCATTCAATTTCCTGAGATTTTTCCCATGTTTTTTTTAATATATTATTAATGTTGTCTTTGCTTCAAGTTAAATTCGAAAAAAAATGTATTTGAAAACTGGAAATACCGTTTATGGTACGAAAACTGAAAATCTACTTAATATACATTTTTACGAATTTCCCAAAGCAGCACACTTAAATATCAAATCCCCAACTATCCCATGGATAACATCCACCGAAAAGTCCCAAATTCCAGGCACTTTCACATCCGCAGATGGTCAATATCTTGGTCGGGTTTATTATTTCGATTCGCGTTAAAATGCCACACAAACATTGCGGATTGAGTAGATAAAAACTAATACACGTGAAATCGGCTATAGCTGCACCGATAAATATACACACAAACAAAAAATGGGGCTTGTTGTTTATTTTTTCGGGACGTACGCATGATCGCTATTGACATCCAGGAGTTCTGCGCTTTTTTTCCACCGTTTCACTGGACAATAAACAGTGTTTTTAATTATAGACTCTGATGGGCACAGCAACAAAAAAAATAATAAATAAAATGAAAGAAAAGAAAAAAACAAAACTTCGCCGCACTATGTGAGATCGCGGATCTGGGGATCCAAAAATATATACATATACACGGATCACCGCGGAATATATTCGAATTATAGTCGCTTTTTGGTCCGCAGCGCCGCGCGTTCGCTGCCAACGACAACAAACAACTGAGCTGAAAAACGCCGAGCGAACGCCTGCAACATGTGGCATGCGGCATGCGGCATGAGGCTTTTCCAGGTGCCCCGCCCACTGGCGCCACCCAGCCGGCCGCCCACTTTCCGCACTCATTCAGCACAGCGGCGGGCCATTTATGAATGAAAAGCTGAGCGGGAAAAGCTCGCGCCAAGTTCAAGGTGAAAAGCGCTTGGGGGAAAAGCGTGCCGGAAAAGCTCAGGAAATGGAAATGCTCAGGGCCAAAAGGGCCATTTTCTATTGGCATTGATATTGGTAGATACTATTTATTATTAATATATTATTTTTTCGATAAATAACTTATTTGATAGCAACATAATTTACAATACAAGTAAAGAACCAATGAACAAATGAAGGCTTAAAAAAAACAAAAAAAATTCGAATAGATCCCTAGGTGAGTGATAAGCTCAGTAGTGGTGGTAGTTGTGGCCCTGCTGCTGCTGAGCCAAGTTGGCCTGGGCGAAGATGTGCTCCAGCTCGGCATCGCTCAGCTGGTCGAAGATGCCGCCCTGGCCGCCGATCCCGCCGCTACTGGCGCTCAGGGCCGACGGCTGGGATCCAACGGGTGGCAGGTAACCTGGAAGGAATTCGGCAAGGATATAGCATTATTTCTCCTAGGATGTCTCTTGGGCTCACCTTCAGCCGGCGAACTGCCGTAGGGCGGCAGCAGGGTGATGGGGGGGCGATTGGGCGACGCTGGCGCGGATTCGGTGGGTGGATTGTAGAACACCGGCTTCCAGGGCTGCTGCGGTGTCTGGTGGACGGGCGGCCGCTGTGGTGGCACCTCCGACGGCGTCTCCGGCTCCGGCGAGTGGGGAATCTGCGGCGAGGCTATGCCCGTGCCGGATTCAGGCCGAACGGGAATGGAACCCGGTAGCGGCACAATTCCGCCTGGGAACTGCGACTCCGGCTGGCCAAAAGTGGGCGGCTGCTGGGGCAATGGTGGCTGTGGAGCAGCCGGAAAGAATTGGCTGGTGGGTGGACTGGGGAACGCCGGCACCGTGGGCACAGCTGGAACACCCGGGACCGAGGGAGGCGATGGAATGGCTGGCGCCTGTGGGAACTGGGGAATCTGGGGAAAGCCGGGGAACTGAGGGAAGCCGGGAAATTGTGGTATTTGTGGGATCTGAGGTATGGCCGGAATCTGAGGAATGGCGGGAACTTGTGGCACTTCTGGCGCTTCTGGTGCAGCGGGAACTGCCGGCTGGGCGGGCACAGCGGGTTGGGCGGGCTGCGCGGGCACCGCTGGCTGGGCGGGCTGGAAGCTAAAGGTGGGCACAGCGGGTTGGACGGGCACCGCCGGCTGAGCGGGCTGGAAGCTAAAGGTGGGCACTCCGGGGAACTGCGGCGCTTGTGGGAACTGGGGTATCACGGGCAGATCCACAGCTGGGGTAGCCGGAACACCGAAGGCCACTGTAGGTTGGACGGGTTGTACGGGTTGCAGGGGCTGTACGGGCTGTATGGGCTGGAAGTGATGGGTGGTGGTCACCGGTTGCACCGGCTGAATGGGCTGGATGGGTTGGATTGGCTGGAGATGTTGAACTGGCTGCACTGGCTGCACAGGCTGAACGGGCACAGCTGGAGCAGTCGGAGCATAGGCCTGCACATAGGTTGGCTGCATAAGGAGTATATATATTAAGCGGGATATTCAACTAGTTGTCTCTGCAGCCAATTCACCTGCACGGCGTGCACATGGGCATGGGCGGGAGCATGGAAGTGGAGCGGCTTCACGGCGGACTGGAAGACCACGGGCTTCTGCAGCTGCTGGTGCGGATAGTTGACGCTGTACGAGGAGACGACCGCATTTCCGGGACGCAGCACGTACGAGGGCGGGGCCACGCCAGTGGACAAAGCGGTGGCCACGCCAGTGGACAGGGCAGTGGCCACGCCGGCGGGAATGGCGCTGGCCACGCTGCCGGGCAGACCAGTGGGCAATCCTACGGGCAGGGCAGAGCCAACGGCTGGCAGCAGGGCGGCGGGCGCGGGTGCAAGGGCTGGCAGCAAGCCGGAAGCGGAAGCGGAAACCAGCGGCTTGACCAGACCATGGCCGTACTTGACGAAGTGGCGGCGCGGAGGAGCAGCGGCCAGGAAGGCACTGCCGCCGGGCAGCTGCAGGCTGTAGCCGTAGTGGGCGGCATAGGTGCGGGCGGGCCATTGGCCGTGCAGGTGGGCGTGGCCGTGTAGAATGCCACGCTTATGCTTTCCGGTCGTGACCTCCACATCCGTCTCCGGCTCGGTGACCACGCTCGTCGTGGGGCCACTTTCCGCCACCGACTCGGATTCCTGCGGCGGCGCCTCCTCGGAGTCCACTGTCAAAGTGGGCGCAGTGCTGGCGGGGGGCGTGACCGATCGGCTGGTGTGGCGCAAACGTAAGCCCGCCTCGGCTCGATGGGAAACCAAGAGCACCGCCAAGACCATCAGTAGATGGAGGCTCCTCGAACTGGCCAAGAGATTCATTTCGGTTATGTGGACCTGTTTCCTTGTATATTCTGGCACTATCTGGTGTGTCGCCGCGCGTTTAATCCGTTTGCTGCGGTCGCCGCCGAGAAAATGAAATGAACTTCCTTGGTCGCTGTTGTATTTATAAAGCGGACATCGCGGCACAGTGGAGTGGCCATCGTGGTCGGTGCGCACCCACTGTGCATACCAATCGCCCCACAACGGTGGCACTACAGTGCTAGCAATGCACCACAGTCTGCGGCTCATCGGCATGGCATACGGCACCTGCAGATTGGGCAGTTTATGACTTTTACGCTGCCATTTCACCTGCCGCACTCGAAGACCCCTCCTCACCCACTGACCAGCGCCTCATTACGCCTCGCCACCTGACCGCGCACTGTGGTTCCGCAGGTCGTATATACTCCAGTGGGCAATAGTGCTCCTTCGCTCCAGAATCGATTTCACTTCCAAAAAGGTTTCGTATTTAGAGTTTACTTTGAAGCTTACGCTAAGAATCCTTACCCCACGTGGAATCCCATCAGCTGAGGTGTGCCCATCAGTTGTCCACTGCATTAGGCTGCTTGCTCGGCCCGCTCCACTGTCCCAATGGCCGGAATCCACGGAATCCACTACGCATGCGCAGCACGTTGCCGCGCACGCACAAAACTTTTGCTTTCAATGGCCTGCATGTTCCGCATGCTTTTTGTGTCGTGGGTCTTCTGTTTTTATCGCCGGACTCTTTTCACTTTCGGCTGCCGTCGGCGGAGATGGTCCGAAGGCTTATGATTTGGCTGCAATTTAGATACAAATCAAAAGTGTCGCCACTTACATAATCCGGCCAAGAGTCCAATCGGGCGCCGTGCTAATCAGTCGCCGGGTGAAAGCATAATAAAATCATTGTAATAAAAGCAAAAGCGTACCAATTAGCAATTAGCATGGCGCGGTCAATTATTTTGATGGCATTTCAATGCTGTTATTTGAAGTTCGTTAAAATTCAGCATTCACACGCATTAATTTCACCTGCACTAAATCTGGCGGGCGAACTGAACCCACAGATAGTGGATAGTGGATAGTGGACAGTGGACAGTGCTTGCATTATATCACACACCTTCGCCGTAAATGGACTTTCGATTAGCCTACATTGATTTTCACTTTTTTGGGAAACTGCCCGCCCATTGGGTGTTTGGAATTTAAAGCGACCGAACACCGAACACCGAACACCGAACGCCTCGTAGCGCCTGCCATCTGGTACAGTTCGCGTTGTGGGCTAGCATATCGCCCGGTCATCTAAGTGGGTCTGGCACACAATCCTCAAGGTCTTTCCCAGGCCTTGCCGCCGGAGATGTCATCAATTCGCAGTTTGGGTTCGCTTTTTGGCACATGTAATACATATATTTGACGAAGAGCCACATAAACCTCAAAATGTAAACACGCAGAGGAGCTTGTTCAATTCGATGCTTTATGACCTGCCCGACGTGAGCAGCATGGAAAAACGGGAAAACCAAACACACACATGATAGTTAAGCCCCAGCAAACGGGGTTCAGGATTTCCTAATCGCTTACAGCAGAAATCAGCCTGGGATCTCACAGCTTGAAGCCGGAGTGAATGCTGACCACGCCGAAGGTGAGGTTCTCGTACGACACCTGATCGAATCCCGCCTGCTCGATCATTCGCTTGAACTGCTCCTGCTTGGGAAACCGCCGGATGCTCTCCACCAGGTACTGATACGCCTGCCACTGACCAGCCAACAATTGGCCCATCGGCGGGATGACCTGGAAGGAGTACTGGTCGTATAGCCATTGCATCGTTTCATTGGTCAGATGACTGAACTCCAGGCACATGAAGCGTCCGCCCGGCTGCAGCACTCGATACGCCTCGGAAAGAACCTTTGGATGGATGGGAGAAATAAGTATAAAAGGTACACGCAATTTCTTACATGTGCGGGGACTCCTACCTTATCCACATGTGTGCAGTTCCTGATGCCAAAGGCAATAGTGTAGGCACTAAAGCTGGCGTCCTGGAAGGGCAACTTCTCGGCATCGGCGCACTGCCAAGCGACGGTGCAGTTGGACAGCTGGTCGGTGGTCAGTCCCAGCCGCTTGGCCCGCTCCTCGCCGACGTCAAGCATGTGCTGGTTGATGTCCGACACAGTGACGTGGCTGGAACGCTGCTGGGGATTCGGCTGGTTGGCCAGGTAGCGCAGGTAGCGAAAGGTGATGTCCCCGGTGCCGCCGGCCATGTCCAGCAGGCGCATACCGTGCGTGGGACCCAATCGTTCAACGAACATATCCTTCCACACGCGATGGATGCCCAGGGACATGGCATCGTTCATCATGTCATAGGAGTTGGCCACCTGTTCGAAGACCTCGTGCACTGGAGAAAACAAATAGGCTTATTTTCGGTGCTCCGCTTACGGGCTAGCTACGTGCACTCACCCTTTTGTTCCTTTTCACTTTCCCGCACAGTTTGAAAGCCGAAATGCGTGGTTTGCTCCGTTCCGGAGGTGGATTCCGCGCCACTTGACTTATCCCTTCCCAATCCCGTGGACTCCCGTGCCGATTGCGCTGCCGTCCGGATGTGTACGAATCTCCTGGCCAAGGACAGCAGCCGGGTGCTCCTCGTGCTTTGCATTTCGCTGATTCTTAGGGGCTTTCCGTCAAGAATTTATTATGAAATAACAAAAACACGAAACAGCCGGTTAGATATGGCACCATATGTTGAACCTATCGATTTTTGCAGCTTCGATATATTACGATTACTATTTCGAAACGGGCGCCAAGTTCAAACGATGAAAGAAGTTGATAAATGTCCATTCTTAGCCAAGAAATGGTGAAAACCCCGATTTTGAATAGCGAATTTTGGCAAAAAGTAGTTTTTCTGGAACTAAACTATCCGTTTTCTGGCCATCTAAAAGTGACTGGGTTAGTTGGCATTGGTAATTAGGTGTACAAAACAGTTTACCTTTTAGCTGTATGCCCATATTTAGCCCACTTATGATGTAAATACCCTTCGTAGATATACATTTTTTACCAAAAGTCAGATGCCTGATTTTCCGGAAAAACATTCAGATTTTTGGCTGATGGGGAATCAAATCACGGCTCACAAAACTGTGAGGTTCACTTATGAAAAAATTATTTCTTTATTTTAATGAATAAACAAATAATTTCATACGAGGAATAGGAATTATAGGTTTTTAAAGAAGTTACTAAATGCTGGATCCCACATTTCGATTCGGATCACATTTCAAACAAAAATAGGAAATACCAAGCCATAAATAAATGGATTAACAAGACCACAACTTTCATTTAATCCGCACATTTATATTTATTAACTGTACGTATGCGTGCCCAATTCACATGATTTCAGCGAACTTGTTATACCGCGATTCTCTTAACTAATATTCAGATGCCTCTCAATGTCTGTTGGTTAAACTTAATATTAGTTACATTACAAGTAAATACCTAATTACAATTGATTAAAAAAATGCCTTATCTTGGGGGTTTCACTTTTGCTGCACTGCGCTGCGCTGCAGCCTTACAATTGTTACATTAAAAACAATTAAAAACGTATTTATATATATAGTAATAATAAAAATAAATAGTTTACAAAACGTGGCTGTTTGTTGTGTGTAAACGTAGAGACTTTATGCTTAAACCGAATTTAAATTAATCTTTAAATCATTGAGAAAAGTCCATTTATAAGCGTTTTCATTTCGTTCTCTATATATCATCATATCTTCTGTCAGTTGCGCGGGTCAGTATGTGAGTTTGGTGTTTTTATGAGCTATGACGAACCAAAGTCTGATGGATGAGTTGGTGGTATGTACGTGCGTGTTGGGTTGTACATGGTTAAGTCTATTTAAAAATACAAAAAAAAAATGTTTGTTTATTAAGCCTTTCCTGCTGTTCAGGAGCCACAATTCATGCCCTCTTACACATATGCTATATATTTAGATGTAATTATAGTAGTATTTATATTTATATATATATATTAGGTTAAAGCCTATCCTGCTGCACATGCTCCCTACCATCCGCTGTGGACTTAAATAATGCTTGGCCGCGGTTTGGAAGATACGGGAAAAATAGCGGTCTCAAAAGTGAAGCCATAACAAAATCACACAACTGATACTCCAGTGTCCTCACACACTTAGTAGTTAAACTCCTCTTGCTTCTCCGAATCGCTGCGCAGATCGGCCACCAAGGGCTCGAAGCAGGACTTGGGTATCAAGGTGCCCACGATCTTCTCACCCTCGGTGGTCTTCATGCGTATCACTTGCATCTTGCTATTGGAACGTGTATTCAGTATGTGCTCCACGCGTCCCCAAACGGAGAGCACGGATCCAGCCAGAACGTGGTACAAGCGTTGACGTAAGCCCACCTAAAAACGCAAAACGCAAAACGGGTACCAGTCATTAAGAATTGTTCGCTGAGCAAAGTCTCGGCGCCATGTAGGCATAATTGATGCACACTCACCTCACAGTCGTTACCCAGGCTGACATTTCTACAGTTGCCGTTCCAGTATGCGTGCGAACAGGTGTTCACCGAGGCATCGTACTGCTCCGTCCAGTGCGGCTCCGCGTCCTCGCTGGGCACCTTGCGATACTTCTTCTCAAGCTCGAAAAGCGATTCGTGGCGAACCTGAAGACCAGTGTTTGGTCGGTATATCTGACACATGATCTCCTTTTTGCTGCGAGTTTTCTTTTTCTTGCTACCGCTGTCCGAATCGGTGGCACTGCTCGTCGAGCTGCTGTTGCGCGACTGATGCTCTAGGATTACCACCATAATGGCGGTTCGCTTCTGATTGCGTAGCTGGTGGGACAGATAGAAGCCCTCGTTCTCGTTGAACAGATCGGCATATCTGCAAATAATTCCCAATTCATAAAAACCAATTCCTATTTACAGCCATATCCCATTACTCACTTGTCAATGGCTTCCTGCCAGATCATGCCTCTTTCCACTCGAACCGTGTGCATCTCTGTGGGCGCCACACCGGTGGCATGTTTGCGCACGAACCGAATAAGTCGAACGCGCGTCACATTCTCACCGGCAGCTCCAAGATCTAGTGAAGTAAATTAGATAAATGACATTACAATTCACTCGGAATAGACGATTTTCGCTGAACGACACTTACCCACAATGCCCAAATCGAAGCGACCGCCGCGCTTTGCTTGCTGAATGATTGCCGTCATCGTGTCCGTAAAGTACTTGAACAATCGATTCTGCAGATCCACCGGACAGCCGAGAATACGGTTGAGAAACTTTGATATGTTGTTGTAGTCCTTGTCGAGACTCAGCACACCCGGATTACTCTCGCTGTTCACTATAATGCCCACACCAACCAAGGCTCCAGCGATGTCCTTGAAGAACTCGCCGCTGTAGTCCGTAGGCGGCGGCACCAGCGGTGACTCGTAGCCCATTATGGTACGCATCACCGTTTCCAGAGCTTGTCGACCGTATTTGTTGTCTATGTTAAACTGGGAGAGATCACGAGTCTCCGTGGCCCTGCGATCGCCGTGGGTAAGCGCTCCCAGCGATTCCAGACGCTTGGCAACAGTGGAGGCGAAACGTCTCTCACCGGCCAAGTCGGAGATGAGGAAGATGTACTCGGGCGCATTAACCTGATTAAAGATACCACATTTTAATACAAACAATCAATAACTATGTTTATAGTAAGCTAACCTGATTGGATCGGTGGGTACGCCCAAACTGCTGGATGGCTCTGTCGGCGGACCAGGGTAACTCCAATGTTATGTGGACACGTCGTCGCTGGTTGAATACTCGCCGATCACTCTGGAGCGAAATACCACTGGACGCAGCTTCCGAAATGATTGCCACATCCTTCTCACCGTCCATAAAGCGCTGCTTCTCCGTTATGTTCAGCGTTTCCAGCGGGACATCCGATTCGGTTCTGGACTCGTATTGGATATTACCATCATCAGTTTGTACCACGCGACCCCTTCGACCTGTCATTTCGGCCACGTTATCGGGACCACCCAGTTCGTCGATCAATTGATCCAGCGTGTTTGGGGGCAGTCGGGCCCCCAGTCGCTCGATTTTGCGCAGCAGTTCCTCTTTCATCGTGCAGGCTCGTTCAATTGCATCTTTGGGCGGAGGACCATAGTTTAGTTTGACACCATTCACACCCACCGGCGTGACTGTGCCTTTCAGCTCTTGTTTCTTTTGCAGAAGATCCTGGATCTTATCCTGGGTAGAGAGCTGGGACTTGCGGCTCTTGGCCGCATTCAGAGCAGCAACGACAGTGGCGGACATTGACGCACTGCCACTGGGATCGGTTGCGGCTGAACTGGATGCTGATGAGGTGGTCTCCTTTTTGGGCTTCTCCTTCTTCACCTTTTTCTTGGTTTTCTTCTGGGTCTTCTTTGACTTCTTGCTGCGCGCGTTCACCCAGGGATCGATGTCGCTATCGCTGCCGCTGAAGAAGGGATTAAAATCGGAACTAGCATCGCTAGCCACGCTTCTCCGGTCGCTGTCCACATCATGATCCTCATCGTCCTCATCTTCGTCATCCATGTCACTCCTGAGGTCGTCATCACTATTTGCCTCGTCGCTGTCGCTGTTGGAGTTGCCTCCATCTCGTTTTCGATTGCGTTTCCTGCCCGTATCATCGTCGCTGTCGCTATGTTGCCAAGATCCACTGCGCTTCTTCTTTTTCGACTTGCTGCTTGCGGATCCGTTGTCATTGTTATTACTTCCCTTTCTTTTGCCAGCCGTCGTGGTGCTATTGCTATTGTTACCCAAGCTGGAAGTGGAATCGGCAATGGATGACAGGGAAGGTGTCTCATCGTAGAGGCCCAGGATGCGGTTGATGCGATTGCGGTCAGGTGCCGGAAAGTGGCGCTCCACAAACGACTGAAAGACACCTCTGTGGAAGGGATATTAATTGTACGGTGAGTGTCAATCCACCTTTGTAGGAATAGTTTCCGACTACTTACTTAGCCGTAGAAACAAAGTCGGTGAGTTCGCCATCGTCGCGTTCCAACTGATCTAGAGTTCGAGCCTCGCCGGTGGACTGCAGGCCGATGACAACACACTTTCCGTACTTTATGGACTCGCGGGCCACCAGCACAGCATGGTTAACCTTGGCGGCGATGCAAAGGTACTTGAAGAAGCGCTGATGCGAGGACCAAAACTGACCCCACATCGTCTTCTTCATTCGGCTCTCGGCATCGATCAGTTCGGCCGCCTCGGTGAACTTTTGCATGGCCTCTACCCAGAGCTCCACGGACTGATCGTAGATCTTTCGAAACTCCTTGGAGAGCGGGACCTCCTCGATCTTGAAGCTCACGCCCTTGAAGCTCAGCTGGCGGGCGATGTACATGCCACGCAGCTTCATGTCCATAGCCACGATCTCCATGGCGCCCACACCGCTAAAATAGGCAAATATGTAGTTACAAAAATGAAGTTTATATACATAGATGGAGTCAGCTTACCGTCTCTCCACGGCGGTGATGAAGTCGTTAAAGTTGCTGAAGGCCGTGCCCTGACCCCAGAGACCCAGGCGAACCATATAAGCCATATTCTTGGGCTCAGAGGCACCCGTTGCGGATGCATACACCACGCGCGCCTTGGGCAGCTTCTGCTGCAGCTCCAGAACGGTCTGGCCCGTCTTGGTTGGCTTGCCGGAACCCACGGGGCACAGATTCTTGGCCTTGTGACACTCGTCGAAGATGATGAGGCCCTCGAAGTCTTCGCCGCACCATTGCAGAAGCTGCCGGAAGCGGGATCGGTACTTGCCCGTCTTGTTATTGGACTCGCCAATCAAAGCGGAATATGTGCTGAAGATCACGCCTCGCTTGCAATTGTTATTCACATCGGAGCTGATCTTGGCGTACTTAAACTAAAGCAATACATTGTGTTAATAGCCTCCCTCAGAGTGAACTTGCGTTGAAACTCACCTTGTTGAGGGCATGGACCTCGATCCTCGTGGCCCCGATGTCGCTGAGATCCCGCTCGGCATCGTACTTGAGATCATTGGACACGGATATCCACAGCGCCTTCTTGCGCCCCTTGAGATAGTTCTCGTAAATGATGCCGGCGATTGTGCGACCCTTGCCCACGCCAGCGCCGTCGCCAATAAGGAATCCAGCCCGACTTCCGTCCGGAAGCAGATGATCGTGCGCCTGGGAGGCGTACGTAATGGACTCCAGTTGCAGGGCGCTCAGATGTCCGCTGTTGATTGTTTCGAGGGGCAGGGACAGCTTGTAGTAGACATCGCAGGGCTCCACGGAGCTCAGCGATGCTGTCTCCACAACGGCATCCGGATGTTTCTTGCCAAGTTTCACTGCGGGATCGGGACAAATCAACGTGTTAATCACTGAACTTTAGCCCATAATAGCGGCAGGTGAAACTTACATTTGGCAGGCCAGTAGTCGGCATATGTTTCGGCTACACCCATCTCCTCGTAGTCGACCTCATCCTCCTCCTGCTGGACAAAGGCAGCCGCTGAGGCGTGAGCAGCCGCCGCCGCTGCTGCAGCTGCACTGGTCACCATTGCGCCGGGATTCATTGGCTGAATGGGCGCCGGAGTCGTCTGTGGACGTTGCATTGATTGCATGAACATCTGGAATACGTTATTCGGTATGCCACTGGTTAGGTACTCCGGATTCATTGCGATCAGCTTCTGCACGGCCTCTATCATCGAGTTGTTCCCCTTCACTACGCTACCAGGTGCTCCGCCAGCCGGTCCGCCACTAACGGCGGATGTGGCTAATGGTGGCTTCAGACTGTTCCCGATTCCGCCAACATTTCCGGCAATCTTAAAGGCGCGAATTGGTGCAGCGCCGCCCGCATAACTCACTGGAAGGCAAAGGGATTCGGGTTGGTTGTGGTTTTTGCAGCAAGTTGTTTGGATAATGATGTGGTTGGTTAATTAGGTTTACACGACACCAGAGTGAGTGAGAGGTGTGTATACGGGGAGACATCGAATGGAAAGAGACAAGGGAAGGCAGCCGGAAAACAGAGGAAGATTGGAAGAAAAGAGAAAGAGTTTTGTTAGTAATTAACTAGGCTGGCTTTAATTACTTGTCAGCTTCAATACTAGCTTGGAGACTACAAGATCTAGCGAGTGTCCTTTAAATCAATTCAATCCATGTAAGATTCAGGTGTTCGTTAGCTACCCGCATTCACACATCAATAAAATCCCATCGATTCATTCAATAAACTTTGCCCGCTTTTAATAAACCAACAGTTGTTCTCCAAGCAAACCCACTAAAGGATCGCTCTACACATCCAGACACATCCAGGAGGTCAGCCATCAAAAGGCACCGAATCCACTGGCCGATGGACGGCTATTTTAGCATGCCTGCGCCTACGACGGACATGCGGCCAGTAGCGATTGTTTTGATTGAGGTGGATGGAGTACAGCGACTTCTTCAGCAGCACCAGGTTAAGCTTGCACTGGGTCCGCTCGCGTTCCCTCATTACGTAGCTGGCCGAGCTCTTGACTGTACTAATGCGTTTCGACTTGGGTTGCTTGTGCTTTGGAGTGAGTTGTGGAGTGTGTTTTGGCGCTAGTAGCTCCATTTCGCTGATGGACTGGCCGCTGCAGCGAAGATTGCGGTAGATGACAATGCTATTCGGCGTGTCCCGCGATTTCCCACAATCAGATGCTTTTGTATGTTCTAAAGTGCTCGATACCGCCGAAATGCCATTCTTTAAATTATGCAGCAGCGGGAGCTGCTGCCCTTCATCCAGCTGGAGTTTAAAGACTGGTTCCACGTTCTCCACCCGGTCCACTAGCCTTCGCAATAGGTTCGCAATCTCCGTGAGTTCGCTATTCGAATTACTCTTCAATTCGGGCACCAGTTTCTGGCGGATGAGCTCCTCCATCTTCTGAAGCGCGATTGAGTGCACGTTGTAGAAGCCCTTCATGGCCTCCGCCACCTTCAGATTGATCTCCTGCTGCACTGTGTCCCAATCTGGTGTGTCCAGAGGCGGTATTTCTATGCTCGTGGTTTCTTGCGGTGTAGGTATTTTCTCACAACTAATGGTTTCTTGCGGTGTAGGTATTTTCTCATAACTAATGCCGACTGCGACTTCTGTGTTCTTAATAGTATCCATTATACAATCTCCAAATTTTAAAAAACTACTGTACACAACATGAGTTACAAAATTTTAAATTGTACAAAAAATTTATTGTATGTCGCTGGAGTTGTGCTCTCCTCGAAATGTGAAAATGTTGTGGCAAATCGGCTAGGCTTCACTACGTTAGATGCCGAAAGAAAAGCCAGGCGCCTACTATTTTGAGAATTTCGTTACACTACATTTGGCTGAGAAAACATAATTGCAATAAACTTTCCTGTCAAAATAATAAAGTTCGAAAAATATGAAACATTTGATGGACATGGGAATAATCAAGACTATCGGAACGGAAAGATTTCTTCAACACTCGTGTATTTTCTACTCCAAAATGTTGACAAACCCTAAAGAATCAATTAAACTTCTTGAATATTTGCTGGCTGTATGGTCTTACCTTTGGAACTACCAATAGAAAACCCATTTCCTGCAAGGCACTTAACCCACAACTCTCACACACACACACACATATTATTATTGTTTGAAATTTTGGAAAAGAAGAGCATTTTTCTTGGTTGTTACCAACATTAATCGACTTACTCTGCGCCAATAAAGACGCGGCCATATTGAAATTAGCAGCAGAGGCTGAAGTGGACGCCGCCGCCGATCCGCCAAAGAAATTGCCACCGGGATTGGGAATGCCGCCTGCTGGTGAGTTCCTCACCGAATTGGCGGCTGTGGACGGCGGCGGAGGCGGTGGGGCGTTGCTGCCCTTGGCGGCCACGTAGGCGGCCAGGTTCATCAGTTCGTTGGTGCTCAGGCTGTTCAAGTAGCTGCTGGTGGAGCCAATGGCACCACCCTGGGACGAACCAGCCGGCCCGGCATTGCCGCTGCTCCTGGCCGCTGGACTGCCCATGGCTAGTGGAGCACGAGATGTCCACGAGGAAATCGTAAGCAAGAGTAACACAAGAGTAACCACACAAACAATAACCGAAACAAAAACATAAGCAGGCAAGAACAGAAAAACCATACAAAATGGGATGGGAAAAATTATATATATTTGGGTTGGCGGTATATATAAATCGGGTTTAAATCATAAGAAGCAATATATAGTGTTGAGTGGAGAAATAGAGAGAAATAAAGAAAGAGAACAACACAAGCATCATTAATTATTGTGATCACATCTAGTTCTATAAAGCCAGTGCTGCCAACAATTAGTTCTACATCTTTCAGTATTTAAACTATATACTTGGATTTAATCGCAGTGTACTGCATTTAAGACAGCTTTTTACATCAAATTGCGGCTTAAGTTTCGATTTATAAAGGTTTTTTTTATAATATCTTATTATTTCGTTCATATTGGAGTTCTGGCAAACTTAAGATAATCTGTTTTGGATTAGATGTTGTTTAGATTTCATTTTGCAATTAACTGAGATCAACTAAGACTGTAATAATATAAGGAATTCCTTAATACAATGAATTTTGCACATAAGAATATAGTTTAAGACACTCTTTGTTCAGTCATTTAAGCCATTCCTTTGCTATTTGGTTTTTTTGTTTTTTTTTTTTTGGTAAATTCGATTAATGAATTGGCAACACTGCTGTTAATATTATTAAGTTGTTCGCTTCGTCTGTGTGTGCTGTGCTGTGTTCATTTGTTATTACAAGTATTAAACGTAATTAATGGCACTTACCCGTTATCGCGTTATTGAGTTTCTTTGGCATATTGCTTAAATTATTCTCTAGGGCTACTTTTCTCCCTACTATCGGTATCGCTGTGATCTTTCCGCCCAGGGCCACGCCCCCAACTGTCGGCGTACCGCCCACAGTGGTTGGTGTTGCTGTTGTTGTAACTATCTGGCGCACAATGGTGGTGGCTGCGGTGTTGTTGTTGTTGGTGGCGTTGTTATTGTTGCCGTTGGTGGTGACAATGTTGTTGTTCCTATTGTTAACGCTGGTGATTATATTGTTATTGTTGTTGTTGATGCGCAACAACGATATCGGCTTGATTTTATTATTGCCTATAACAATTTTGGCCCCACTTATGGGTATGGGTGTACCGCCCTTGGTCGCCACGCCCACTCCGCTGCGGATATTTTGGGCGTACGTAACGGCTGTGTTCAGATCGCGACCACCGCCTAAAATAAGGATGAAGGAAAGAAGTATCGAAAAGTTATAATAAATATATAAATTTGTACGAATAATTAACAAACTTCTGTTTGATGGTCATAGTTCACATGCGTATGCCTATGAATTTTGATGAGCTCTTGGAAATTCATTAAAATGGGCTAATTGAAATTCCCAAAACAAAAGACACACATCACTATTAGCAACCAAATAGGAGATTATACAAATAAACTATTAAACGGCACTATTGATGGCCGCCTTTGGTATCTTGAATCACAAATGCTGCTACCTTCTTCCACTCGGAAACACGTGATTAGAAACAAGGGGTTTCTCGCTTTTTGTGTGCGAATACCGAATGCAATTTGTACACATTAAGCCCCACACCCGTTCAATACGAATCGAAGAGCTCCGTGATTCCCCAGATGAGCTGCACAAATTGCAGACATACCCAAACCCGAAACACAGCGCCACCCCCCTCATTTAAGGTAAATATCTAATTAATGAGCAAACATACAGGCACATAAGGTGGATCTAAGTATGTGCAAGGCTATGTGCCGCACGAAGGGGGGAAAGGTCAATTGGTTGGTACATAATCATAATTATATGTGCACATCCAGCACACATGGACAGACGCAAGTGGAGATGCACATTCGTCTATATACTGGATGCGTATGGGAATCCTAATGCGTTAATGCCCTTAGTTCCCGCAACCTCCGCCAGATGGACGCCGCGGTCAAGATGATGGCAACCAATCGAATTCTGTGCGCCTTGGTGCACCACAAATCTCCAAAGGCTCTTAAGTCCCAGGTTGAGGCATTTCCACCAAAAACCCATTATGCATGTGTGGAACATGCAAATCAACAAACAACCAAACCAAAGATACAACCAAGGTATTTTCGTGTCATGTACAAGATAATTTTGTAATTATATGATGAAGATTAGCGAAACTGCAGCACAGCAGTCAAAGTGTATATGAATAAAATGTCTTATTTCAATTTGCCGTTCATTGAGACGTACAAATAATAACCAGAAGATAGCCACGTCAAACTCTAGGTTGATAATGTTCTGCCAATTGCCATTTGCTATTCAATTATTTAACGAGTACTCAGTATATATATTCTCATAGTCGGCACTTCGGTCAGGAAACTTGTTCCTTTTTCACACGCGCAAAGTGTTCGAAAGAAACTTAAAGTTGCACAAGAGTGTCCGCCAGAATATGGCTTGCTTAATAATTGACGATATTAGTTCGTTAGTTGAGTTCCTGTTTTTCAGTGAAGGACTTCATAACTTGCCCTTCGATTCACGAGTTTAATAATTTACTGCAGGACGTCCAGTCGACGGTTAATGACGCACGAAACCGTTGGCTCCTCCCGAATATGGCCAGCTATATATGGCCATATAATCGGGCTTGTATGCCAGAGTGTGAGCCAAAATGGCGGATGTACGGGCACATATGTGCGCATATATAATTCCCATATAGGCCGTTGTATATGTAAACATATCGTGTATATATGTGCCGATATCTAGCAGATCTGAGGCAAATAGAGCTCAAGGCTTGGCAGGATGTCGTACATCCCCGACTTCTGGACAGGTGTGCATCGGTGTTTCGGTCTCAGGTGGAAGGGGCTTGGGTAATTTCATTAATGTTTCAATGGCTAATGCGAGTGGCCTTTTAATTAACGTTGGTTAGATAGCAAATCAAGTGCATGGGTGGGCTTAAGAGCATGTACAGGCATAACTCATTAGTCATTGAAAAGGAAGGAGAAATCCTTCGATTTAACATAATATTTTCCAATTAAATCAAATTGTAATTGGCATAGGTGCGGCTTATCAATTTCATCACGTACTTGTTGATTTGTGTAATGAACTAGGTTGGGTATTTACAAATAATATTTAAACGTCTGAGAGCAATTAGTTAGACATTCCGAATCGCATACCCATTGACATGGGAGGCTATTTCGACATATAAGCCATTAAACATTTTTGAAAAAAGGCCAACATTTCTGCTGCAAATCAGCAAGATTAGCAAGAATGTCATAGCAATTTCATAAACTAAAAGGATTAAATTCTCGCACAGTTGATTGAAATGCCAACTGAATAAGTAACAGCCTGGCAAGGGAGCTCCGCCTCAAAAAAGCACCCACTTGCCCGCTTTTATCTCAATCCCCCAACCCCTTTTTGTGAATCACCCCGTTTTCTTGCCACCCTTTTTTGAACGAAATCCCTCCGCTCGGGTGGCCAAAAAACTATGTAAGGTTCCCACTCGGCTCTAAAACTGCATGAATGTTGAAAATGAAGGGCCACAATCTCCCTCCCCCACAACCTATGGGGCTACCTATGAAATTGTTGTCCAAACAATAGAAAACCGAGAGGAGAGCCGTGCCGTGCCGATGCCAACACCCTTCCACTTTTCAGCCCACAGTCAACCCACTTTTCACTATTTATTGCGGGCGAAATTTCCAAGCCCAGAAGCCTAAAGCTTGTAATTTCATAGGTTCTAATATGATATTCGAAATGCGACGACTTACCGGGCACTTCTATTTGATCTGGATCCTCGTCATCGTCGAAATCGGAGCCCGAATCGTCTTCATCAAAATTATCATCGTCGTCATCGGCGTCCAGCAGGGTTTTTCGTTTTTTCGATGTCTGTATAGAAAAATTGTGTAAATGCTTTATTATCAGATAATTAAAAAGTATTTGAAAACATTATATTTATTAAAATAAATATCTTAGGGCTAAAAACAAACTCTGACATAGGAATAATTCTTTTAAGCATATGTAAATACCAAATAAGTGTAATTTATTTTTAACCCAAAGATATTAACCCAAACATTTGATTGCCATGCATGATGCAGTCATCTGACGCAGACTTATTAAAACATAATTTTTGTTTTCACTGTGCAGTAAATTTCTTTCAGTGCACTAGAAAAGGAACGACATCGCGAATATAAATCGATATTTTCATAGTTTCCTTGTTCTTATGCCGAACACAAACATGAAGAAGCACTCAAAAAAATATCACAAATGTTCAAGGGGATTAGCTTAAATAAAATCTCACCAACACGCACGCACACACATTGATGACAACGAAAGCCAAACGAAAACAAAGATGAAAAATGACACAAAAAAGCACGAAAAACCGCATATATTTTCGTAGCACACTTTTGGGGGCGAGCAAAAGTGCTGGGACTTCCCCGAATGTTTAGAAAAAACGGCACAAAAAGGACGAGAAAAAAAATGCGCACACCGGGTGAAGAAAAAAAATGGGGGAATCCCCCAAATGCGAACGGGCGGACAAAATATTTATATAAAAAGCCAAGAGGATAAAAACAAAAAATATATATATATAAGGGAACCACACTCACAGAGTTTTGGGTGGAAAAAAGCAGGACCAACGGTCAGATGCTTTGCGTCGCCGGTTGGATGAGGTGGTTCTGCGGAAGATCCCGGGATCTGATACTGAGTACAACCAAGCAGCTAAGCAACCAAGTAACCTGGAACCGTCTCTTTGTTCACAAATTATGGGCGCTATTTATCAGAGTTCGGAAAATTGTGCGACTGGCTCGATGCTCGTGTGGGAGCCAACTAGCCAAAAACCTCGGCCGGAGTTCGAAGACCGGAATTGTCGAGCAGCCACGGGCCACTTTCCCAGTTTGCCAGCCAGTTTGGAATACCACCAAAAGCAAACCCAAAATGGAAATTTCACAGCGAGCCCGAGCACATCGAGCACAGGCAAAGTTGGGCTGCAGTTTTTCGACGGCCAACGGCAGGGGAGCCGGGGGTTAAACGGGGTTACCAACGGGTTAAGCAGGGTGTTACGGTACCGCCTTATGGGGTGGGTTTTTGGCCAACATCTCTCCTCGGTCAGGACGACGAAAGGACGCGCCAGCACAGAGAACGGAGAACGTAGAACTGGGAACAGGCCGATAAACAAACGCGAGAGGCCAACCCCTTGGCGAAGGACACAGTGGGTTAAGTTCGATGCAACATGTCCCAATTAATTATTTTAGTGCCATGCACGCACCATCATTTTAGAATTATTTCATATTTTATTATTAATCTTTTTTATTTAAAATAAATATGGTTCATTTGCATATTTCAGAGATAAGCACATATTAATTTCAGGATTATTTCAGGATATTACTTTCAGAATTTTCATTAATTTATTAAAATAAATTGGATAGCGAGACTGAAAAAGTAATTTATAACACTATCCTATCTGCTAAACTCAGTTTTATTCCATCCTATCCTTTTCAACACAACACTTGCAGGCGGACCACAGTGCTCCACTTTAGCCCGAAAAAGGGGTTGGCATTTTCCCACCCCCTCCCCATGTGGAAATTAAACGAAGTAGCAGCAACAAAATGTTTGGCATGCAGAGATACGAAGTTTCCTCCTTTATGCGGAATATGCATGTGCTTCCTCTGCTTTCAGAAGCCCCACATCCCACACACCTCACAACACCCACCCCACCCACCGCACCAGCCCTCATCACCCACAACTCTTCTAGCCACCCCCTCAACCCCTTTTAAACAACAGGGTTTTGGCTCAGTTGGCAGACGAAAGCGGACGAGGGGTTGGTTAGGGGGGCTGGAGCAGGTCGAAAGTTGGGGGCAGGAGGAGCAGCAATCTGTAGCGCATGTACAGCAATTAGAGCAAGACAGACTGCTGTGGATATGGGCACGTCCTTGGGGAAGGGGTAGGGTGCTGGAGGGCTCCGGAGGGTGGCGACGGGTCTGGTTGGCTCGTTCGCTGGCTATATGCGTCCATATATACCGTGTACCTCTGTATGCTCCTGGATAAAACAAGCAAGGAAACAAAGCCAACCGAGGAAATCAGATGCAGAGGGCACAGTGAACACTCGCTGAAATGATCCACACATGTTCCAAGGCACTACCATATACTTCCATGCTATACAATATGTTTTCAAGAACCAGCTTACGTAATTATTAAAAAAAATGTATTACGTAATAATAATAATAATTATATTAATAGTTATAATAATAATAATTTTAATAATATTTTATTTTTTGTTGGATTATTTATTATTAGTATTTTAGGCACATACTTAATTAAAAAATACGTTATTTGAATGTTTACATAGTCATTTTTTAAGAGAAAAGATAAAACGAGTCCGCTATTACCCTCTCAAATGCATTCCTCAGCAAAAGCATAGTTCTCACTCCCTAATTATTCCTAACTCTGCAATATATCATCCACACCTCCGCCTATTAATGGATTGCAACATTTTTGTTGACACACAAAATAAAATCAAAACGAATGACCTTGCAACAAGGAAAATGTTGAAAATCTCTGGCCAAAAACATGTGTTTCCATCAACCACCCACTCACACAAATAGAAACATCAACATGTTGCAAAAAAAATAACAAAAAAAAAGTGGTATGAATTACGAAAAATAAACAGCCACAACATTAACCCTTATCAACAGGGTTGGCGAATGAAAAAATAAAAACAAAAGGTGCGGATAAAAGCGGACAAAAAAGGACCCAAACAAAGGCCAAGGAAAATAGACCTGAAAAATGTTACAAAAATGGGGAGAGATTCAGCTAATGAAGGGACCCAGGAGTTGGCAGAGATGTTGACCAGGCCGACGAACATGTGAAAAGCGCAGGCGCCAAAAAACTCGGAATGCAGTGGCCAAAGCGAAAACGGCGATACATAACATGGCTCGTAGGACCACTTACCCACCCTTCCCAAGCAGAAATGCTCTGACTGCAGCAGAGGAAAAGCAGCGCAGCTTGTGGGAGGGGCAACTCGCATTTCCTATAATGCATTTCCGAGCTGCAGCTGCAGCAACTGCAGTTATACAGTGAAAACCCCTCTACGGGGATTCCCCGAAAATTGCTGGCATGGTTTGGGTCTCTGCTAGAGGTTCCTCACTCCTGCGAGGTTTCAGTCTCCGCTGAGCAACAAGTGAAAGGAAAAAACAATAACGCGAATAACAATTTAATATATATTCCTTTATCAGGAAAACAAAATGCAAATCGTATTGTCATCATTGGGATAAATCTGATAACATAAATGTGAATGCTGAGAGGAATTCAAGTTATTGTCATTGCATTACAAAACCGCAATGTTAGAGTTATTTGCTTTACGAACTGGTAAGCAAATGTGCCATTCAAAGAATGTATTAAGTAGACTTAACAAAACTCTCACTTTACGAATCAAGGCAACGACGACTGCAATATAATGCTGCAAAATGGAAAAGCTTAGGTATTTGTAAATAACTTGAGTAGGTATACTTCGCCATAAATAGTAAATCCAATTCAAAGTAATTGATAACAGCGAAATGTTACAAATAAATATTATTGCTAACATTTTATATAAATACTATTGAAAATACTAGCAATATTACTATTTCTATCAATTTCGAATAGTGTAAAAATACATACATGTATGTAATACAGAATACATATACAATACATATATGTACATGTATATGCAATTAAAAATTTGCAAGAAATGGGGCATGTGGGGCCAATAGTTTTGATAACATTGATAACAGTGCCGCCCCCAGAAAATAGTTTTCATCCTCAAATAACGATGCACCGTAGCCCCCTCCCCCGCCCTTGGGCTTAACCCACATGTTGCCCCTGAGTCGCATGGCCTTAACCCTAACCTAGCGCAACTTTTGTCGACTGAATTCGTTTAACTCGTGTGCGGGAGAGAAAAAAAAACGCCAAAATTAAACTGAGCGTGTGTGCGCGAAAGAGAGGGCGGAGCGCGAAGGGGGAGCATAAGAGGGAGAGAAAAACACATGGTTCCAGGCCACGCGAAAATGCGAAATGAAATGCGTCCTTAGAAATAACCGCAGAAAACAATTGCAGATACAAAAAAAAAATAATAAAGTGAAGCGGGAGGAGCATGTGCGTGTGCGTGGGTGGAAGAGGAAAGAGCGAAAAGCGCAAGAAAAAGAAAAACAACAATTATTGAATGAGTTGCCTACTGCTGCTTCTTCTTCTTATTATTATTCTCCTTCTTCCGCTTCTGCAGTCGCTTTGTTTTTGTTTTATGCATGCAAGGGTGTCAGTGTGTGGGTGAATGTGTGTGTGAGTGTGGAAAATGGCAAAATTTAGCAACAAAGAAATTTATATTAAGTCATGCTAGCGGCTAGGCGGCCACAACAAAAAGGCAGCTAACTTAAACTTACCATTTCGATCCTCCAATTGCTAACGGTTGTTTTTCACTCCAATGCTTGTTGTTGTTAACCACAAAAAAAAAAATAAGCAACCGACCGCTGACACACGCAATATTCGCTCTTCTGTTTGTATTTTTCGGTGTTTTGCTCAAAGTTTATACATCAATTCTTTTTAAACAATGATTTTTTGAAGTTGTCAGCGGAAACACAACAATTCTGCGGCCAGTCAGACAGCAAATGTAGCGAAAAAAACGCTTTACTCCGCAATACCCAACGCGTTAGAGATGTTGTTGTTGTTATTCTTCCTGTTGTTGTTGTTGTTGCGATAATGACTGCATGCGTGTGCGTGCGTGTGATGAGTGTGTTTCTCTGTTGTTGCTGCACGCGGTGTTTCGCTTCAGATACTTTTGTTCGGATGTTGTTGCACCGCACAATACACGCACTGCATTCGATGCAACAACACTCGGAATCGGAATCAAGGAGGAAGGAAACGAGAACGAGAAGGAAGCGAGGAAGCCGAAAACACACGTAACATGCCAACTATCGCAACTTCGAGATGCCAACTAGATAGAGCTGGAAAAACATCGATGTCACTATCGATTAGTGATTGCAAAAATGGAAAAATCGAGAAAACATCGTTTAGGAAATTATTGATTAGCATGTCGATATATATTATGGTTGATATCTGGTCACTCTAATATATAGCGTGTTTTTTCTAAAATTGGTAAAGCAAAAACTTCCATATATTTTAAGTATAAAGACAATTTTTCAAATACATATACAAAAATTAAAATGCTGCAACATTGTATTACAAGAGTATTTCTATTGCATTTGATTCAATCTATCGGTATGGCACGCGGTATGCACTATCGATAGGATATTGCCCGCGTTTTATTTTTTTTTTTAATTATTTAGATTAATGTATTAACAAATGTAATATGATAAAAAGAAATGCGCTTCCGATGTTGCATTTCAAAAAATTATGTCAATTACAATGTGCATGGTTTGAATATGTTTTGCAAACTATAATGCTAAGATAGTACAATACTTGTAACTAACAGAACAAAAAGTAAGAACTGAATTTTCAATCTAACTAACAAACAACATATTGAATAAATACATTTACGTACATTAAAGATTCTCAGCTAATTCCGTGCGCAATTTCTGGTATTTTCTTAAGAAATTTCTGCAATTGCGATAGCAGCGGATAAATATCGATTATTTTTTTTCCACCACCTCTAACACCACATGTGTGTTGTTGCTTGGGCATCAAAATTTGTCGGTAAGTCTGGTTTTCCCGCTTCCAATTTCGCAATCCGCCAACACGAGCACTTAAAAATTCGCTGATTTCAGAGAGTCCGCATTGCTTTTTGCTGTGGAAAAGAAAAGAAACGAGAAGAACCGGTACTACGCCAGGAAACAGGACACAGGATAAGATCTAAGCTTTCCACGGACACGGAACGAAATCCACATAGTTAACAAAATGCCAAACGACACAGTGGTAAGGGTGCAGGAGTACAAGGACTCGTTGATCCTCAAGGCAGAGCTGCTGATCACCAAGGGGTTCCCGGAGAAGATCGTCCAGCTGAACGAGCTGCTGGCCACGCCGATGTTCAACGAGCGCAACTTCGACGAGGTGCACCAGGACCTCAACATCCCGGCCCTGCCGCCTGTCCTCGTTAAAAACCACGAGGACAACCAGTCGGAGGATGGCGACCATCCGCCCACCAAGCGCCAGCGCAAGGATGTCATCGTTTCCGGGCAGCCAGTGCTGGCACTGCCCGCCGGTACGGTGCCGTGCAACAAGCCGCTCTGCGAGATGATCAAGGTCGTCAAGCCCATAATCAGGAAGCTGGTGGAGGATTGTAAGTGCACCGTATTCTAAGAGATCATAGCCACTTCTATTCTCAGCAATATCTTTATGCTATTCAAGAGCCCCTTCAATGTTCCTAAAATTGTATGAATTCCAAGAATTTTCAACATTAGAAGCATAAAAAACCCTTTAGGCTAACATTTGCGTGAGATGGAACTTTTCAATGATACCTTAGTAATACCTGATTTTTTTACTTTCGCAGCCAATCTACTTAAGATGTGGATCTCCTTCATGATACCCAAGATCGAGGATGGTAACAACTTTGGCGTCTCCATTCAAGAAGACACGCTGGCCGAAATTCAAACTGTAGAATCTGAGGCGGCCGCCTTTTTTGACCAGATATCGCGCTACTTCCTCTCGCGCGCCAAGGTGGTGTCCAAGGTGGCCAAGTATCCGCACATCGATGACTATCGGCGCGCAGTCCTCGAGCTGGACGAGAAGGAGTACCTCAGCCTATGGCTGGTCGTTTGCGAGGTGCGCAATCGCTACTCCTCGCTGCACGACATAGTTATTAAGAACCTCGAGAAGCTGAAGAAGCCGCGCTCCTCAAATACCGAAAGCCTGTATTAGGCAAGGTATTTCCCAAGCCCGAGCCTCTACTTTTTTTTTTTCCTTTGCATCATCCTACTTCTTGATCAACAAACAAATCAACAATCAGCCCGTAGAGCGGACGGTCAGCGGTTCTTGTGGCTACTCGAAAAGCTAAGACTCTCCACTTCGGTTTACAAACATCAAAATTCAGTAAAGTGAAGAGCAGTGATTAAGCAAAAGCTGTAGCCTAACAACTATCGACTATTTATCCATTTGTACTACGTCTAGAATGTAATGTCGAGTTTAGCGTAGAATACAAGAAACCGATGCTGTATAGATTCCACTAATAGCTATAGCTATGCATATAAAGAATAGGCGAACTCCATTGACACATTTTTTCAACATTTCCTAATGTACATTTTTAAAACGGGCGCCCTCATAAGAAAGATGCCCTTTAAAAAGATGTGAAAAATAAATCTTTATAAGTGTGATTCGCCCAGAATAGTTCTGCTGTGCTTGTTTTCTTGTTTTTTCTTTTATATTGACTGCTGGTTCTACTTTTGGGCTGGATATCTATCTCAAAATCCAAAGAGGCGCTTGACATTGGATAAAGTGAATATTATTGCATTTGGTGCGACCAATCGAAAAAAATTACATTTAGCGAAATATTTAAATGTTTGCTCTAGCAAATTCTCATAAATTCTCAACGTGACTGTGAATTTTTTGAAAATTCGCGCCAAACATTTTAGGCAGACCGTATATTGTAAATGTTCGATATTTGCTTAAACTGGCCAAACCCGAACTGCTTTAAGAAATCATGTCAAATTTACTTTTGTTATAAATATTGCTTTTCTATATTCTATAAATATAATAAACAAATCATAAATAGTATAAAAAACAAAATAATAAAAATTTGTCGAAGTGTGTTTGTCAGACAGCTGCAATACTAAAGCTGCCTGCTACGGAACATTAGTTCGAACATGTTCGCTTCAAACACCCGCCAAGCCGAAAATTCAAAACACAAAAATGCTTAAAAAAAAGGAAGCGTATATTAAATAGATAAAAAGATAATTACTATTTACAGATAGTACTATCGAATTTATATTTACAACTAATTTAACTACAACTCGACACCACACGGTGTATGCAAAATTCAGTTACGTTGATTATTTATAGTAATGCATTAAGTTTGTGCTAATACTTTCGATTTTTTTTTGTTGTTTTTTATATTTTCTTTTGTTTTTAAGTCGTGTGTCCAGTAAATTAGAATTTCGGTTGATTTCGAGGCACTTTTAATTTGTTATTGGCAGTAGTTTCTATTATATTCGGAATTTTAGACAACTTAGACTAAGGCTTAAATCTAGATATGACAATAACACTTCACAAAGATTATCAACGTTTTGGGCTTAGCTAAATCTTTAGACCTACGCGCAGTACTGGCATCAGCTAAATATAATACTAGCTGTTAACATTTAAAGGTTTCAGGACATTGCAATTCTTTTTTTCTTGGCTCTAACTCTTTTTCGTTAGTTGCAGATGTTTAAGAAGCACCATTTGGAAGAGGTTGTCTGATTATACTTCTTAGTGTTGGGGAATTAGGTTTGAAATGGAATTTATATTTATCTGATGCCAGTAACGGAATCCCGGCTATCAATTCCGTCTGATCGCATCCACGGAACTGAACATAGCCTTTTGTATTAAGTAAACGAAATGGCACATTGAACCACAACCCACATGACCCACCCAAATGACCCACGAGAATGGGCCAATTCTCGGTGACCCATTTGATCACATGTGGTGACCCCACCAAGCGGCGCTGGCCTGGTAATAGCCATCGTTTCCCCAGCTGAGGATGCTTAGAGGTGGCGGCGGTGGTGTTAGCGACAGTACGTCCACATCGCTGTCGTTGCTGCTGCTGTTGTTGTTGTTGGTGTTGGTGGTGTTGTTGTTGTTGGTATTATTGTTACTGGACCTATGCGTAGTTTTTTGCCAACCATGTCGTGGCTGAGCGGAAGCCAGAAGTCGCAGCTTGAGACGACGACGACGCCTCCGACGACGCACCAGATCCCAGCCAACGGTGCCCTCTTGTTAGAAAACGTGGTGCGTATTCTTTGATTGCGCCAGGAAGGGCTTCTCCTCGTTCATCTTCTCCAGATTGCCGCTTAACGTCGGATCCGTTGGTCGGATGCGCTTGAAGAAGCCTACCTTCCACAGCACATAGGTGACCAGCGCAAGGAGGAGCAGTCCGCCCACGATGCCCAGGATGATAATCAGCCAGGGTATCGATGTGTCGCGCTGTTGGTTCCCTAACTCCGGATAAGCCCGCGTCTCCACCTGGTAAAGGATAATATTTAAGCGAATCCTCAATCTCGTCACCTTGGAAACCTCACCTCTATGTTATTGTGATCCAACAACTCGACGCCATAGCTTTCGGGTATTTGGGCCGTGGCTGTCGAGAAAATCCTTACCCTCTCCACCCGAGGATATTCACTGACCAGCGTCGAGTTCCATAGGCGTGCCTTGACCACCACCTGGGCCTCGGACATGGCGGGCATGTTTAGGATGTCGCACTCGATGCGGACGCAGTTCGTCGCGCCCTTGTTGCAGTCCAGCTCCACGATGTCCTGCTTCTTGCCATTCGGTCCCGCCGCATTGCTACTCTCGGGATCGTACATTAACCGCTCCAGGCGGGTCACCCGTTCTAGGAAACTACGACGGACTCGATTGCGGTTTGATCGAGAGTCATCCGAATGCTCGTCCAGGTGGCTGCTGGAGAAGTAGCTTCTCTGCGAGTGGATCAAGCTCTTGTTGAACGAATGACGCGCATGCGAGGGGAACATTCTCATCTGGGCCGGAGCACTCAGGAAAGCTGGATTTTCCCTGGAACCACTGGCCAAATTCAGCGGATTAACATACTCCTTGGCCACATGGCATTCGCCCTGGCTGACTTCCACGGTGGGTACTTGCTCCAGGTAGAGCAGATACTGAACCGGTCGACCGCTCTGGGGATCACTGTACAGTGAGTACGGCCAGTGGATGACCATTTGTACTTTCGGCGCCGTCGATGGTCCCTCGTTGAAGATGGTGAACATGTGATGAACCTGGGAGCCCACATCGTCCATTCCCATTGGACCATGTCCCTCTGTCTCGGCGGCGACAGTAGTGGCAACCGAACTAGCCCCACTCGATCCACTGTAGAAACTCTGCTCGGGTATGGCCCAACCGCGGAAGTTAAGCTTCGCCCGACGCACCACATTCACGAGAAGATCCTGCTCGGGACGCTCGCGTCCCACCAGCTTGGAGGTGGTGTTGGCGAATATGTGGAACAGCATGGTCTTCTCACTTGGCTCCAATCCCTTGGGCTGGAATCGGATGGTCACAAATGTGGTGGTGTCGCGGAGCATGGGATTACCAAGACTGCATGCCACCAGGGTGGTATTGTAGCTGTTGCAAGTGGCATTCGTCTGTGGGTGTGGATGAAATGGACAGAAACGGAGTAGAAACTTTGAAGAGTTCACGGCATTACTGGTAACCACTTACCGGCTTCTTGGTTGCCACATATGAAACCCCCGCCTGATGGGCTACGAACAGTTGAGCTTCGTAGGCGGAATCCGCCAGATTGCTCACATTGATGCGGACCTCCAGTTCCGTCTCATCCAGAGTCAGTGTGTATGCATTGCCTAAGGACGATCAAATGAGTGATTGGGCTCTGTGGTAACCATGAGATGGACTCACCTGAGAATTCAGTAATGTTCGGCGCCGCCTGGATGACCAGGTTGCTCTCGCAGAGATCATCATCGCCGCAGTCCTTCTGGAAGGTGCCCTCGAAATCGACGTGCGCCTGGGTCTGATCCAGTATCGGATTGAGGCGTACCAGGGCGGACTCGGCCAAGGGCGGTTCCACCAGCGAGTACTTTAATCGGAAGCGCACAGGAGTCTGGATATCTCGGGTATTGGCCTTGATGTAACCAGTGACCGCCTGGCATTCTGTCCTGCCATTCGTGTGCACCCTCACCACGCGACTGAGGACATTAGTCCGCTTTTTGTCCTGATCGAAGAAGAAGATGCGAGAGAATTTCTTCAGGTGATCGAAGGTTTCCGCCTCGACGCTATATGCCAACCGGAGTTCCTTGCTCTTCTCATCGTACGGATCGATGCTGCAGCACGCTCTGAACGTGAAACAGGTGAGATTACTGGCCGGATCGGCCAGGCAGCCGGGCCTATTGGGATCCATGTTGCGCAGCTCCTCGCGCTGCACACTCGTCTGGATGCTGATGATAGGTCTGGCCAGCAGGACCACGGCTGCCGATGAGTTAAACGCCCCGATCACCACATCCGGATAGGAGTTATCATCCAAGTCCGTGTTGCCGGCTATGGAGATGCCAAAGGTGCGAATCGGTTGGCCATTGGGCATGGTGCCACCCAGTTCCGACGCTAGAATCTTCTGGGCGGGCTTGGAATTCAGACCCTGCCGCGAGCCCAAGTAGATGTAGACTACGCCATTGCCCTCGTATGGTGCTCCCACGGCTAGATCCTCGCAGTTATCCTTGTTCAGGTCTCCGATGTTGGCCAGTGCCAGGCCGAAACGACTCTCTAGAGGTCCAGTCAACTTCAGTGTGTAGCTCTTGGGCAGCGTATCCTCGTTGTTCTGGTACACGTAGACAGCTCCGCCCTCCGTTTTGGTGAAGTACAAAGGCGCTGCCACTATCAAATCCGGCCTGTGATCTCCGTTTACATCGGCGGTGGTCAGTTCGTAGCCAAAACTAGAACCGAATTGCTCGCCATCTAGGATCGAGTGCACCGGCATCGGATTATCGGTGGACTTGTCGAAGATCAGCACCTGTCCATGGCCCTCGGACCGTGGAGCTCCAGCCACATACGACATGTGGCCAAAGAATTTGCCACCGGTCACCGACATACCCAGGTAGCTGTACTTGTCCACCGGCGAACTCCCATCCGAGTGATCATTGTAGTAGATTGTCTTGTCGCGCTGCAGGTACTCCCCGCCTACCTGGGTCACCCAAATGGACCCGCGCCAAGTGTACGGTCCCGGGGAACCCAACACCATGGTGTCATCGTCCAGTAGGGCGGCCGATGTGCCCGCCTGGCACACTCCGTAATCCTCGTGGTGCCTGATGGTTACAGAGAGGTTGAGATGATTAGGAACCTAGCCACAACTGTTCCTCAATGTGGGATAAATACTGTGATACCCTGTAGGTTTAAGTGATACCAACTGAATTGGACATTAAAATACTCCAGTTGACTTCTGATTTACGACCGTAGTTCATCTTCATTTGGCCTAATCTATGCCCGTATCGGGACATTAATAGATGACCATGGTCAACAGAAGGACGCTTTGGACGCCCGTATCTTATTTTTCCGTCGTTTGCCTATTCCCAAATGGAGCTGGACAAATGTGCGTTGGACATTAATGGATGACCAGGGTCAACATTTGCCTGTTGGTCTAGTGCTTAACCTCTTTCCAGCAATTTGTGCCATATATATTCATTTTTTTTAGTTTTTTCGTAACCCCCTGCTTATTCCCGAATCGAGTTTGGACACGCGAGTTTCACCTTGATGAAAAATTGCATATTCAGAATGATGACAGGCCTTCCAACCCCCTTTATGGCAACCTTTGACCTCCCGTTCCCAACCGCTCCTTGATTGCGGTCATCATGTGGGTGCGGATCCCCACATATTTCTCCTTCCAAACGGCCCTGTCATTTAAATAAATTAAATTTCACCTTTATGAGTGTGCGTTTATACCCTGCAACGACGTCATCGGTGTCACACTTGCGGTGACCCTGCTCCAACCCATCCACTTCTCCACTTCTCCACATTGCCACACACACTGCATGCTAATTGGGCGAAACACCCCCGCATTTTTCATAGCTGGAGATAATTCACCTTGACACTTTTCCTGCGCTCCCCTGCCAGGGAAAACCAACACCACGCAACTGACCCATGTCAACTGAGACAGGGAAGAGTATGCTTACATCAACCTGATCAATGGCAATGACCTAGGACAACTCGCAGTGGGCTGATCTATACCAATGGATTGTGAAATATGATCGAGCTGGTCCTACATAGCCTAATTAATAGCTAAAAGCCCGGATGAGAGCACTACTGACCTTTGCACTGGTCGTCCTTTACAGGGCTCGTGGACCTCCTCGAACTGCAGGTCGTTCGTAAGGAGGTAGCAGAGACCCTGGGCATAGCGATTTTCTCGCACGATGTGCATATAGCGATGGGCGCAGACGATCACCTACAAGAATATGCGTAGTTATCAATTCAAGGTTAAATAAAATAGTTAAATCTGCAGATTAGCTGCAGATTAGGTGATATAAACATAGTAGTTTGGGATTCCGGTTGCACTCACCTTTCCGCCGGATCCGTTGGCCTGCAGGGGATTCGATCGCACCGTAACGCCCATCCATTGGTCCTCCTTGATTTCGTCTTTGCCGGGCGGTGAGAGGATTTCGCTGTCGAAGACTGAGCGAACAACGGAGAATTTGGGGCGAGAGAGAAAGAGAGTGCAGAGAGAAATCGCAATGTTAGCAATTGCCAAAAAGTACATATGTCTAGTGTGTGGTTGTAATTCTGATTGTGTACAAATGTGTTTGTGTGTGTGTGTGTGTGCGTGTGTGTGTGTGCATGTCAGCAATAACAACAAAGATAATTTAACAGTAACAACAACAACAGTAACGGTAATTATAACTAAACTAGTAACATTTTAAAACAACGAGTAGTATGCATTATCAACGGTTTATATATTTAGCAATGGTAAGGACAACAGTAATCATTTACAAATTTATATATGTACATACATCTGTACAGTAGGGTGGACCTTAGTTGGAAAAATGTTTCAAATGTTTCAAAGCCGTTGGTTGTAAACTAAGTTTTGCCTGAAAATCTTTTTATTTATGATCAAATTTTTAAATACTGAATACATGTTGCAGAATTAAAATCTATGATATTTTGTTAAGATTTATGTAGATAATACAATTTGTGAAATATGCAAATCGTAAAATTTTTCAATGATTGAAAGTAATGCTAATGAATGGTATGTTACTAATATGTAGGTTTATTCAAGAAACATCGATTATTTTGAGGTAAACCTGATGTTTCCTTAAGTAATAGTACTATTTATGGTACTATAAGCCGAATTTCGCGTTATATTTGTTGGTCCACACCGATTTTTAACTGGAAATGGAAATCGAAATTGAAACAAAGGCGATAAAAGAAATGCAAATTTCAAGCGACTCCGAAGATTTCAATTATTCACGGCTGATTTTCGGGCAACATGTTTTTTGATTATTTTCCATTTTTTGTTAAATGCTGGCGGCATGTTGCACAAAAGGAGAAAAGTAGAGTGTGGGGTAAACAAAAAATTGTTGATTAAACGAAGCATGAAACGAAGCAAAAGAGCGGCAAAACAAAAATGGAAAGCGCAGCCGCAAAAGAGAGAGAGCCGAACGAAATTGATTTAGAATGCATTTTAAAGCATCAAAGTGTTGAAATATGATAAATGATTATTACACTTGCAAGAGGAAGAGAGATAGCCAGAGGAGTTGCAGTGCACTGAAAAATATTCCTAGTTCTCTAATATTGTACTTTAATGCCATCTTAAAAAGGAGTGTAACATTTTTGCATAAATGTGCAACAGCAAGTTAAATCAAAATATTTTTTAATTAACCCAGTTTCTCCACTTTCTTCTCATCAATTTGCCCCTTTTCTGCGTTTCTGACATTGAGCCCACTCGAAAAGAATTAAGTTTTCTGAAGGTAATGGTGGGGAAAACGGGGGGCGGTTATGGTTAATGTGCAGCAATGCAAATAAAACCTCACCCAAAGGCCCGCGTTTTAGTGACCGCCCCGCTATTTCGCCCACCAAAAAAATCCGCGCTATTTTCGCTCAAGAATTCGCTTTACTTTTACAATTTGCAGTTATTTTTATGCCCCAGCCAACATTTGTTTCGCCTTTCAAGCGTACACAGCGAGCGAAAATATAATTATACAACTAATTTATGCAATAGTAATGAAAATCTAACATTTTTTGTTGACTTTAGCTGTGGGAAGGCGACGATTTTCTACCAAATTCTTCAAATTGCATCCTCAGACGATTCTGATTGTCTTGTAAGGTCCAAGAATTTTTCCCCGTGCATCCTAATGTTCTGCACTTCGTTTTGGTATTTTTTGCTGTGCTCATAGTTTGAGAAATTTGTCACGTTCTGAGGCGGCGCCGTTGGCAAAGCCCACTTCTTTGGCTCTAGTAGGTTTTTTCCAATTTTTTTCAGACGTTCCTTCTTTCTCTTCTTCTTTTGAAACTGCCACGCTCTGATTGCCAAAAGAGCGAAGAAGAAGAAGAAGGGAGCCGGAGGAGAAAGAAGAAGCGGCAGTGGAAACCCGGTCACAGTAACGTTCAAAATAATGCAGACGACCCAGTTCCATGTTAACACTCGGCTGGCGGAGGGGGTCAAAAGCACCCAGCAGTGCAAAAGCGCAAATGGATCTATGTTCGTAGGAAAATACCAAATACTCTTTCGGGCAATTTATACTCTTTGAGCACTTGAATGCTTATACCAATAAATAACATAGACTTAACAGAGAATACGGCTCCAAAAACTATATAAAATGGTATCATTAGACAGAAAACTTTCATAGAAAATTTGTTCAAGTATATGGAATATATTATATCACTGCATGGCGAACTTCTGGAAAATCATATGACACCCTCTACAAGGGCGTAAAGTTGAGGAAACCAGCTGCCATGGCTATGTGTGTAATTAGCGCTAAATGAGTCGCCAATTGAAGCCGCCGAAAATGTTAAGCCGCACTTATGGGGCTTTGGGATTTTTCAAGGAGCCCCCCTTCCCCATTTTTCCCAATGGTATTGGGTGAAAATTCCGAGAATCAGTTGCTGCATGCTGAAGGAAATGGTTGACATGTGACGCCGATAATGAAGTTGTCGCTGGAATCGAAGCGTGCTAATGCCCCGAACACAACTATTCAGAATTGCTTTCAGATATTTGTTGAAAAATATTTGTAGCTGAACTGGATAACAGGGGCAATTCTGGTGAATATATTTCAAATTTTTAAGGCACTGGGAGGGTTTAAAATAACAGATGTTACGATTGTCACCAAACACATATTTGCAATGATGTAACCAATCGTTTTCATTAAATACTATCAGTAGTGTCACCAATTTAGTGAAATTCATAAAAACTTAATAATAAAATATACAGACTGTACACTAGGTTTGTGTGCAGCGACTTGATTTTTGATATTTGTATGATAGATATAGATATTTTATTCAAAAGGTGAGTATATGTATATTCAAATATTAAAATGCGTATTTGTACAACTCGATGTGTATTTTTAGATACGTTTCAAAGTTATATACATAATATATAATTGCAATTAGTGCCCGCATGCGTGGTAGGTCAGTAAAAGTAAAAGTAAGAGTGAGATGGAAGCAATATGGCGGTCATAGCCATGCGTGCGTGACTGTACATTCGGTGATCGCCGATATTCCAGATTTGCAAAATGTATACGTGTGTATAAGTGATTTATTTAATTTTGGGGCTGGGAGTGAATGGGTGCACTGAATCGAAAGTATGATAAATGCCGGGGTTAATTCAACTCAAATTCAAATTCAAATTAGTAGGTGAACGTATCAAAGCGCAAACCAAAGGTATGAAAACCGATTACGGCAAACTGGTTATACATAAATGTATATATATATATATGGGTCTATCGAATACTGAATGGGTGTTAGCGGTTGCGATGAGATGCGCGATCCTTGATCGGGAATCGGGTGGTATTAGGGATCGGTTTTTGGTGGGCAAGACAACAATTAAAGCACCCAAAACCACTTACGCGTATTAACCTCATATGCTCCGTTTGCTAAGGGATTCGTTCGTTCGATTTATCGAATGGCAAATATCGAAAAGATTTGTCAGTATTTTTGGATAGTTGGAGTTGGGCGGGTTAGGATTTCAGGTTGAGGCACAGTAACAAATGAATTTCCCAGTTATGCGCACCGAATACGAATTTGGATTTTGGCGGAACCAAATAGGTAAAAGGGAGAGCACAAAAAATTAAAACATAAGAAAGAAAAAAGAGAAAGAAAGATCAAATCAATTAAAATTAAATTAAATGTATTTTTCGATATCAGTATTTGTGTTTTATATATTTTGAATAAGATGCTGGAACAAAAATCGATATCTATACAGTAGGTACTAGTGGATAATACGAGTATATACGAGTAATAATAGTGAGTGCTCATCACGTGAACGAACGATTCAAGGAATATTCACTTACAAAGTTAATCGTACGATTCAATATGTGATCGATAAAATGATTTTTAATGTGCGGAGTATTCACCAAAATATTTTTGGTAGCCCAATTGATTTAGAGACAATTTCAATTTCATTTCCAATGACTGATCGAATTAATCGCTTGCAATGCCCCCGTTTTTATCGATCACAGCATTCTTCCCTACTTAAAACTATTAACAATAGACTTTTAAATGTTAGATACGTTTAGTCACAGATCTCTATACAGCATTTGGCAATCTTTTATGTACAACTCGCAGACTAAATAGGGATCCAATTAAAAAATTGGGGTAAACTGAAAATGCGAATTGGTTAGCTAAAAGGCCCGCTTGAGCCGTTGACCCTTTGGCACTCCGGTTAGTCACTAGGCAATTGGGAGCGGGATTCGGCATCTACAACTATGACTATATCTATATTATATGTATGATTACTAGGACTGGCACGAGCCACCTCCACCAATGAAAGGATGTTGATACAGGCTTAGGTAGCAAATAAAAAGGGTATAGATACCAAAACTGGGTTAGGAGTTATCGACTTACTTTCACTTATACTAAATAAGAACCTAAAAACTTAAGATTTATAATAAACATTTTATTCCTAAAGATCCTAGTTAGTTGATATGATTCACTTACAGCGCCGGCCATCGGTGATCACTTGTTCACAGTCATCGAAACTTTGTGTCATTGGACACCGCCAGAGGGCGCCAGAGTGGTTGGTGTTCGGCTGTCGATTGTGATCGAGTGGAGCTCCCACCAAAACACTGAAAATAAGAAGGGAAAAATAAATAATCCCGACAAATTTCTATCGCAAAAGTCTTCAATATGTTCCAAAAATACCCGTAATCATAAAACCCACATGTATTTCATCTGTTATCAATGGCAGACTTTATGTACTTTTGCACCTTTTCACCTCGGGTATTTTTCTTTAGCAAGCATTTGTAGACTTTAACACTAGCTGCTATTTTAGATTTCCGTTCAAGTGAGAAATAGCAGAATTTAAATATTTTCCCTGTGCATATATTTAAACTTAACCACTTGGTAAGCTGATCCAACCACAAAAACCGCCCAAGACAAGCGATATGCGGTCAGTCGCACCTCGGATCTGCTGGGTTATAGTTACACATGCATATGTATAGTCTTGGCTATCGCCTCCGACTGGTAATCGATTTGTAGGTGGGTTCGACTCAGACTCAGAGTCAGCGACAGCAACAATTGCGACTTGGTTCAATGCACTTCACTTTGGGGCTTGGCCCTGCCAAAATGTAATTACTTCGGGCGATAAACGTGTGCAATGGGCTGGTGTAGATTTGTAGGGGGTCTTCAGGGACTTGGGCGCGTCTGCACGAAAGATTTCGCTAATGAGCAGGCAAATTGCCAAGGAGTAGCTAAAACGCCAGCAGGATATTGTTGGAGAATGGGTGGTGGAATAGGTGTAAGAACTTCAAGCTTAAGGGGCTAAAACTGGGCCTAATATGTAAGAAATCGCATTTTGCTAAGAGAAATGTTGAAATTGAAACAGGTTGATATGTAAAAGAGATGCTAGTTAAATGCCATGCCAAGTCTAATTGCCGATGCATGAAGACCACGAGAAGAAAGACATTTCTCCGACGCAAAACGTCGCCAAAAGCTAGTGAAAACATGGCAAAGAAAACACGCTAAATGGCAACAAAGTAGGGCCACGAAAAGGGGGCGGCCCCTGGAAAAAACAAAAAAATTAAGCAAAAGGTAAAGAAACAAAAAAAGCACCCACGCTCGCTCGCTTAACGTGTTTAACATGAATGTTCATTATCCTGAAGCCGTAAGCTCAGCCATAATCGGCAACAACAACAACAATAGTAGCGGCAGCAGCAACTTGCAACAACCGCCGCAACAACAACTGCCACTTCTGCGACAACAACAGCTGAAATTGCATGTACGACAACTACAAAACACGAAGGCGAGGATTGGGTTTATGGCGGCCATTAAATGGCACCTACACACACCACACGCACACACACACACCATCAAAAGACACAGAAAAAAAAAAAAAAAATCCGTTAAGAAAATGTAAGATTTTCAATTTAAAGTTCAATACATGTATATTTGGCGCGCGGCTGGATTCGAACTCGGACATTTGGTAAACCTCATCTTAGGCGGAAGTTTATTATCAAAATCTGCCCTTTTTAATAAGGTATTGTACTCAAAAAGAATTTTTTTGGTTTCAGTAGCATTTGGACCCAGAAATCAATAATCCTGATAGTATTTTCCGCTGTGCACCAAACCTCAGACATCAACCGTCACAGCAGCAACATCAACAGAAAAACCCGAAAGAAAAATCGAAAATAAAGGAAATCTTTAAGTGCCCGAAGGCAAAACTGGTGGCCAAATTGTCCATGATTGCGATGGGCGGGAGGGGTGCAGCGGGGGTGGTTCTGGGAGTGGTGGGTGGAGGTGGTGCAAAATAAAAAATAATAATAAAAAAGGAGAAGAAGAAGGAGCCGCTGCTTATGGGCGTGCTGCAAGTTATCGCTTTTGTCGCCTCACAATTGACGCATTTGGCCGACTGGCGGTCCTTAAAACACCAAAAATATCCAGTAATTCTGCGTTATAAAGTTAAGAGTGACCGGGGAACTAAAAAAACAGATGGTAACTGAAAAATCAGCGAAGAGTTTAATTATAACTTATAACTTCCGTTATGTCTGACGATACATATTCAGAATAAATAAATGAATATTAATAAACATAATACAAATTTATTTTCAGATTAAGTGACTAAAAATAATTATTTAGATATTTTTATAATAATATAATAATCTATCAGAGTTGATGATTGCACTAAAGTGATGGAGCTATCAAACATTTGAAGTAAACCAAATGTAAGCGGGATTTAATTGAATGTGAACATGAAATTTGTACCACCCTGCTTATAAAAAGTACCATAACTTGAAATTATATTAACTCCTCAAAGTTTCGACACTTTCCGAAAACTACGTTTAAGTTTAGTCTTACGGGGAATTAAATTAAGAAACCTGTTCCCAGTCAACTTTGCCTCCAAAGACATAGTCACAAATGAGGTAAGAAAACTAGATCAAGACCCAGTCCGAGTTTAAAGCCGGGCTCAGACCGGCTCTCTCCTTCATTTCATTTCATTTCCCATATTTTTCACGTGTTTGTCTTGTGGTCATTAACGCTGACACTCGGATTGCAACAGCCCAACCGAAAAGTAGAGAAGACGTTAAATCCAGACGCACCGACCTGACCTGAACCTGCCTCATTTTCGTCGGTTTTATGACCAGCTTGGCTTTGCTGTTGACCCGGTCCAATGTCTCTTTAAAACAGTTTTTCCTGGTTTGTTTGGACTGCTGCTGTGGCTGTGGCTCACTTAGCAGGTGCCTGCATTTTTCCAAAGGTGATGGCAACCAAGTGGTAAGGGAAATAAAACACGAGTCACATAAATCTGGTCACCAAGCGCGGCTGGCTGTAAATCTTTTGACATGGCCCGGAGTCCATAAAACAGCCCTAATGATCTAGCTGGAATTTCGATTTCGTGGAGATGGCGGAGTTGGGAAGTGGGCGGTTGGAGTTGGAGTTGGAAAACGAAGCTATTTGATTTTTCTGGATTCTGGCGCGAGTTGGTTTCTATTTTTTTATGGCACTTGCCACTTAACTTATCAATTAGCGGGCTGGTCAAGGGGGTCGGGGTGCAAAAGGAGGCTTAGATGGGCATTGGATTCCCCCTCAAGTATCGTGGAGTCGAACCAATAATTCGACTGGCAAAAAACACCAAGTGCTTTCAAAAAAAAAAAAAAAGTCTGTGGTTATATTTCGAAATATTGATTTACAAATATCTATAAAACTATAGCTGTAGCAGAAAATATATTGCATGGCGTCTCTATTGTTTTCATATTCCTGTGTTGCTTAATTTTGTCTCAGTGTAGAAACTGCTCCACTTGCCGACCCGCGTGCAATTAAAATCCGATGGCGCTGAACTTCTAGCCTTAGCTTTTGGTGGTGGATCTTGGTCTGGATCGGGGTCTGTAGTTTGTATCTGGATCTGGGTACAGTGCATCCAAGGGGTGGGGAATGGGAAGGGAAGGGCAGGGGGAATGATGAAGTGCACTGGCGACGACGACTTAGAATGCGTTTAATTAAATTTGAACATTAATTGCCGCTTTAAGGCGTCGCGCGTGTCGCCTCAATTGCCGAGCTCTCGAGAACCCTTTCAAGTGGCTTTACTACAACCAATTCCCCTGTGAATCTAATGAATCCATTCATTCAACCCACTCCAACCGCCACCCGCAGCTGAAGAGAGACTCTTGTAAGAGTTTTGATTGTTTGATTGAATAAAAAACGAAGAAAGGCGAAAGAAAGGAGATCGCTTGATTTCTTGACTCAAATAAAAAAATGCAATTATTATTTGTGCAGCGGGGTGGGGTTATTAAATTATAAGGCGTAGAGAAGTTGTTCTCTATAATAAAAATATGAGTTTCCTTTAGAAACCGCTGTCTGGTGAATGAGCAAGCTGTCTTTATATGATAAAACTGAAAAGAATAGTGTGCGATGTTGCAAATATGAAAATAAAATACAACTCCTTCATATCCACTCCTGAGATTTGAAATTTCTTATATACTTAAAGCTTTTGTATTGCAGTTAAATAGTTATTTTTATATATTTTCTCCCCTTCCTCAGCTCGTTTGCCACTTGCTCACCCTTCGATTTTGGTTTCCATCCCAATGAGCTTATCCTCCGACTTATTTTCGGAACCCCCATCCACAGAAGGAACTCCCCGAATTGCATTTGCCAGAATTGTGAGTACTTTGTTGTCTGGTCCAGCTGTGTTTGCCTTCTTTTTCGTCTTTCGTATTTTTGAAATGCTCCCAGTCGCTCCGATGTTTGGGTATCTTATTAGTCATGATTATCACAAGTGTTCCCAAGTGTTTGCCATCGCCATCGCCCTCGCCCAATCCCCAATATTATATCTTTAAGTGGTGCAACATCGGCGGACTCCACTCCTCAGCATATTTATTTATTATCATTTGTCTGCCCCAAGCCAGCCACAGAAATTCAATTCATTTTCGTCTCCCAGTGACCCCTGTGAACCCTCTCAATACATCCCTCACTCCTTCACTCCCTGGGCGGTGTAAGTATGCATGGATCTGCTGGGGACAACGATGGTATATGATTGGGAAGTCTCATCTGTCTGCAAGAGCACCCTCTTCTAGGATCGATCTGTTTCCGGCCTTCGGATTCCGTTCCGCTTTCGCATTCGGAAAATATATCTTATGGCGGCGGTGAGATAGCTTGCTACTGATTAAATGCGAAAGCCGAAAAATATGTTTATATAAGACTTGAATCATATTTTATTTGCGCTCAGTGACACTCAGCTGATTGTGCTGAGGGGTTACCAGGTGATGTTATTCGGGCCTAATTAAACGTATGCCCGTAGGCCAATCGCAGTTAGTCACGTCCGTCTCTATACTTCCCTATAAGTATATTGTATTTTCAAGGGTGAATCGCCGGGGAGTGGGGTGCGTGATTCGCAGGATACTTCCTGCTGCGGCAGGATGAAGTTATCAGAGAAGGATGAGTTCCCTACCGCAATCTTCACTACCTGAACTCTGGTTACCTGTCCGATCGGAATCGAAGATAGGCGACATGCGGTGTCGTTTACCTGCAGCTGTCTTGAAAAGTCGAAAGAAATGCCACATACATACTCGTACATGCTACAGGGGATTTTCGAGGAGAGGCTGTGTGTTAAATCGCCGGCATTTGCAGCATTTGC